CTCCTTTGTCTGCCATGGCTTCGCTGTCCTTCACTCTTGACTCCGATGCGTCAGCCTGCTTCTTCTGCGACCACGCCATCCTCACGACGCTTGCCGCGCCTGCCACTGCCGCACTTGCTAACCCATCCTCTGGTCCTGTAGTTGCTCGGAGCTACACTACCCTTCCTTGTCCGGCGGTTCCCTCGAGTTCCGTTAAAGGCCTGCACATCCCTTTGTTGGTGTCGGCTGTCTTCAGGACCTCGGCGTCACCACTACGTTCCCTGGTCACGAGCGGTACGCGGACTGTACGGAGACCGCCTCAAGTGCCCCCCTTGCGACGATCCCCTGGGACCCGGTGTTTGGCCTGTTTACGTTGGATACTGCTTCCCCCCGCCCCCCCCTCCCCCCCCCGGTGGGCGCGTCCTCCTCCGGTCCAGCATCCACCCAGGTTGTTGCGTGTTGCTCGTGTCAGTCACTCACTCACCCATCGCTTCTGTGGCACCACCGCCTAGGTCACCCCACGCTCCCGCGTCTACGTCACATGTCTCAGCACGGTCTCGTCCTTGGCCTCCTTGCGTCGCTCCCTGCCCTCCCTCCCTTGCATGCGTCGCCGTGTACGCCCTGCGTCGAGGGCCGGCTGCGTTGTGCTCCTCACTCCTCCTCGCTTCGCCCTGCCACTGCACCCCTCCAGACCCTACACTTGGACGTCTGTGACCCAGCCCCCGTCCCTGGACCGCGTCGCGAGCGCTACTTTCTCGTGCTCGTCGACGACTTCACGCGCTATACCACGATGTTTCCTCTGGAGCGGAAGGCCGACGTGCTTGGCGTTCTTATATCGTAGGTCGTAGCTGCGCCCCTCCACCGCGGTCTCCCTGTGCTGTCTCTCCACTTCGACCGTGGCGGCGAGTTCGTTTTTGGTTGGCTGGGACAGTTCTGTCGTGCGGAGGGCATCACACAGTCCTACACCCTAGCGGACTCCCCGTAGCAGAATGGGGTCGTTGTGTGACGCATAGGTTTGGTCATGGAGGTGGCTCGTACCTCCATGATCCATGCCGGTGCACCCCATTTTGGTGGTTGTTCGCCGCTCGCTACGCCGCTCATCTGGCTGCGCTCCGACCGGCCGCAGGTTTCGTCGACCCTTCTTTGGACCGGGTTCCCTAGTGACGCGTCTGCGTTCCACGTCTAGGGCTCCTCACTCACGTTCGTGCCTCTAGCATGGACAAGCTCACTACCCGCACTGTCCCTTGTATCTTCCTCGGTTTCCCCTTTGCCTTGTCTGACTGGCACTTCTACCACCGGCCGTCTCACCGCTTCTTTCACTCCCGTGACGCCACTTTCAACGAGTCTGTCTCCTTTTACCACCGCTTTCCCCAATGAGGTCTCCCAGTTTCCCCCCCCTGTTTCTGGTTCCCACTCCCCCGGTCGCCCCTACTCACCTACCTCCCCGTCCTGCTCCGTTTGGTGTGTCTCACGCCACTCCTCTCCCGTCGGTTTTCCCGGTCGAGGAGTCGGCTGGCTCTGGTGGCCCCGCGGCACAGTTTGCGCTGCCTGTCCTTCCCCCAGTGTCTCCTCCTCCCCCGTCACCGTCACCGCCGTTGCACTCGCCGCCGTCGCAGCAGCCGCCGCCACAGCAGCCGCAGTCGTTCGTGGACTCTGAGGGTGTTGGTGTTGAGGAGGATGCTAGTCTTGGGGTTCCTATCGTGGCTTGTCCCGGGGGGCTCGAGGGTGGCACTGGTGCTGGAGAGGGTTCTCGCTCTAGGGGTGCTCGTTCTGGGGGTGCTGGAGTGGAGTGTTCTGGAGGTGACCATGGTGCAGCTAGTGGTCCAGGTGTCGGCGTCGAGCAGCAGCAGCCACAGTCCCTGCCAGTGTCCGCCCTTCACCTGCTCGGCCTTCCCTCCCCCGACCGCTCGCCCGCGCCTCCCCTCGCCGCCTCCTCCCCTTCTTGTCCACGGTCCTGTGTTTCCTCCGCCGGACTCGTCCCCGGCACGTTTCCCACCTCGTTCCCCTCTTGTTTCTTCTCCTCTGTCTCCTGACCGGACGCATCCGTCTCACGTTTGGTCTCGCCATCCCACTCGTGCTCGTCATGTCTCTCCTGTTCAGCGTTCGCACCCCATGTGTCTTCGTTCCCACGCATCTTGTCCTCCCATCCTGCCTTCGCCTCCTTTGTCGTCGCTCGCTGTCACATCTCCCCCTCTGTCTGACTACCTTCGTGTTGCTCGTCCTCTTGTTCCTCAGGTCCTTGCCTCCCTCGTTACCGACCTGTTTGTTCCTCTCTGGAGTCTTGACAGTAGTGTCGTTGACTTCGCCTCTACTCACCGCCTTGACTACGCCACTACTCTAGTCTCTGACCCTGCATGTCCTCCGTCCGTCGGGCGTGCTCCTGCCCTTGGCATTGACGTCCTAGAGGACAGGCACTACAAGCTTGCTTTCGTGTCCAAGGCTGCTCCCCATCTCTGTTCCATGATGCTAGTCCCTGAGGGTGACCCAAATGCCTTTGTATCCCAACCCCTCGCACCTACGCTGAGGCGACCTCAGAACCCTGGGCCTCTCAGTGGATAGCTGCCATGGAGCAGGAGATGGCATCTTGGAGATCCACCGGCACCTACGTCAACACTATTCCCCCACCTGAGGTGAACGTAGTCGATGGCCAGTGGCTCTTCAAAGTGAAGCGCCCCCCTGTAGAGCCGCATGTGTTCAAGGGACGCTACGTGGCTAGAGGCTTCAATCAGCGATAGGGGGTGGACTTCTTTCAGACTTTCGCCCCGACCTCGAAGATGACTACTCTTCGGGCGCTGCTACACGTAGCAGCACAGCGTGACTACGAGCTCCACTCCCTCGACTTCTCCACTGCTTTTCTTCAGGGCAGCCTACACGAGCAGGTCTACCTTCGACGACCACAGGGCTTCACCGATACCTTCCCCCCTGGGATCAAGTGGCTCCTTCGGCGCCCAATGTACGGCCTGCGATAGGCACCCCATGAGTGGCACGACACGCTGCGTGCTATGCTAGCTGACCTGCAATTCTTTCCGTCCTCTGCAGACCCTTCACTCTTCGTTCGTGCTGGCCAGATTCCATTCTACATTCTTATCTCCGTAGACGACCTGGTCTTCGCTACTACAGACAGAGACGCATTGGCCTCTGTGAAGGTCGAGCTGCTGAGGAGACACACCTGCACTGATCTGGGAGAGCTGCGCCACTACCTTGGCCTACAGATCTCCAGGGACAGAGCAGTGCGCACCATCACTCTTACATAGCCACACTTGGTGCGCCAGGTCCTTCAGAGGTTCGGTCTTCAGTTCTCCTCCGCACATCCCACACCTCTGCCAGTAGATCACAGGCTCTCAGCTCCAGTTCCCCAGGAGTCAGCAGAGCTCAGTGGTGCACTCGTCCAAATCTTGCATACCCTCTCAGCATCCTGGCTCGCTTTGTGGCCATAGGAAGACACCGACCACAGCACTGGTCGGCCGCTAAGAGGGTTTTGCGTTATCTTGCGAGCACATCGGGCATGGGGCTAGTGCTGGGAGGACGCAGGCCAGTGGTCCTTAGTGGGCACACAGACGCTTCTTGGGCAGACGACGCTGAGACCCTCAGGTCCTCCTAGGGCTATTGCTTTAGCCTTGGTTTAGGTGCCATCTCGTGGAGGTCCACTCGCTCCTCGTTTGTTGCCCAGTCTAGCTGTGAGGCTGAGATCTATGCCGGTGCCATGGCGGCATAGGAGCTCCTCTGGCTGACCTTCTTGCTCGCCGAGTTACAGTAGGTGAACGGCCTAGCTCTGCCCCGGTTCTATACGCTGACAACAGGGCCATGATCCTCCGGTGTCAGGAGCCTTGACTTGAGGGCAGAGCGAAGCACATCCAGCTACGGTACTTTCTCCTGCGCGAGCTCCAGCAGCGTCGCCAGGCCTGCGGAGTACACTTGGCCTCCGGTGCCAACATTGCTGATATCTTTACTAAGGCGCTTGCACCTAAAGATCATCAGTGGCACTGCTTGCAGCTAGGTCTAGTTCATGTAGACTCTCACTTGCTAGGACCTTGATTGTGTACTCCTCTATATTTATGCCTTCCAGACTGGCCTTGTGACTTCTCTTCCAATGGTCAGACTTGAAGTGCCGCCCTGGTTTGCTCTTGTCTTGTTTGTACTCTTGCTAACTGGTCTTTAGACCCCTGCCTCAGAGGTTGGATTAGTAGTGTTGCATGTTTTCTGCTCAGCAGTACCCCTTATCTAGCCTTGGGGATGTGTCAACTTATACATTCGTTGCTATGTATAAGTTATAGGCTAGATAGGTGTATGTTCTTAAAAGGGTACAATCCGAACACTATAGCGCGAAATTGGAGGGCAGGGGGGTGCGAGACATGGAAAGATTATCACATGCGCAAAAAAAAAAAACAAAAAAACAAAAACAAAAAAAAGGTATAGTAAAGACAAAACGTGAGTAACGGCAGAAAAAAAAAAAAAAAAAAAAAAAAAAAAAAAAAAAACTAACTCTATACCATGTTAGAGTAGCGGGAAAGTTGTGACTATGGGAAAATGTGAGGGATAAAAAACTAGGGCTGTACTCACTAAGAACTAAACTAGCTAGGCTAAACACAAATATGACCTAGCTAAGCTATATAAATATATTTGTTGACAATAATAGCTCAACATGGTTCCAAGCAAAAGGAGAGCGACAGGAGGTGAATGAGAACAGGTGAGAACACTGATGACCTGTACAAGGTAAATTGGATGACATGGAGTAATACAAATACTCAAGGGTCATTATGTTCAAGTTCAAAACTTCTTCCAAGCACCCCATCTAACAGGAAGAACTCTTCTCAAAGGGTTTTACGGTTTGGAGTGTACCTGACTCGATGAATAATCCCACACCCCTCTATTGTCACAAGCAATGCAATGTTGCCCACACAGCACGCATCTTCATTTGGCTCTGTGCACCGAATTTGCTCTGTTCCGCCCCTTCTCTCGAGTCTCTCGACTCTCTCTCAACTTGATCTCGACTCTACTGCAGCAACCCGACCGACACACCCGTGTTTCTGCCTTCTCTTTGCCCGCCCACCAACACGACTCATCTCACCTCGCCACCACCACCACCGCCACTCATTTGGCTGGTTCGGCTCGTTCGCTCGTTTATCTGCAGTAAGCTTCTTTCTTCTGGGCGGACCACTTCTTTATTACCCCACCGCACCCCACCCGAAATTACCGTGCGACACACCTCCGCAGCGCACCACTGGTGCCCGCGCTTTCCAATGGCGCCTACTACTGCCGCAGCCACGTGCACCGGCGCGGCCGAAGTCGCCTCGTTGCCTGCTCCGACCAAGGACCACGTGGACGCCACGTGGCTGAGCGCGGCGCTCGGCCTCCCAGCTACAGCCGTCGCGTCAGTCTTGGTGCGCCCTTTCGAGGGAGGCTTCTCCCCTATCATCAAGGCGCACCTAGCCGTCACCTACTCCCCCGACGCGCGCGCAACTCCCGCCGCCGCGGAAAGCGGCGCGAATCCCCGCGCCGGCGATGAGCACGGCGCGCGCGATCCGCGGCGCGTCGAGAGCAGTCGGGCCGACTCCGAGTCGAATCGGCTGCCGAGAACACTGTTCATGAAACTGCTGCCGGCGGACACGTCAGCATCAGCCCATCAGCTAGGCGAGGCAGTAATCGCTATGGTCAAGCAGGCGCACCGGGTGGAAGCGAGCTTCTATGCTCTAGCCATGGCTTCTAGTAGTACTAGTAGTACTAATAACGATTCCGCTTATCCCCATTCAGGGCCAACTTGTGCCGCAGGCCCGACATCAGTGAATACGACGCTGGCGAATACGACACGGGCGACGAGCTGGGTGCTTACCGGCCGCCTGAGCGCGATAGTCCCGAGGGCGTATCACGCGAATCCCGATCAGGCCATCCTGCTAGCCGATATGAGCAGCTCCGCTACTAGTACCAGTGGAGGGTCCGTGCACACCACCGGGTACGAGGCGCTTTCAGCGTGGTCCATGGATCTCACGGACGGCCCGGACGTGGAGCGCGACGCGCTGGTTGCCATCGTGCGCGCGCTGGCTGTGTTGCACACGGCGGGGCAGAAGAACGAGGTGCGGGGGGGAGTTGGGGGGGAGGTGGGGGAGGGAACGCCTCCAGAGACAGCGGGCCTGCTGACGTGGGACGCGCTGATCGAATCGCGAACCGCCCGTGTGATGATCCCTGTGGAGCGGAGTGCGGACAAGCTCGCCGCCCTGATGCTCAAGTTCGCCGCCCACTTCTGCCCTGGAGAGGCGGAACCAGGGCGGCCGTTGCACGCACTGTGTGCAGCAGCCTCGCAAGTAGGGTACGCACAGCTGATGCGCGCCATTGCGCTTCCCCCCCCGCCCTCTGCTCTCCCCCGTGGAGTCCTCCCCACTGCGGTTTCCCCCCCTGTGCTTCCCCCAGCAGCGCTCCCCCCTACTGCACCTGCCTCTGATCACAGCGGAGGGGGGGAGATCAGCAGTGGGGGGATTCTCCACGGGGATCCAAACCCCGGGAATGTTCTGTACAACAAGGGGAGGCGTGAGGCCCTGCTGATCGACTTCCAGGATACAGCTGCAGGTGCACCGGGCGTGGTTGACTTGGCTCGGCTGCTGATTTCGTCCATGCACCCTGCATCGCGTGCGAAACTCCAAGAGGACATCGTTCAGGCGTACCTGCAAGCATACCAGCAGCAGCAGCAGCAGCAGGAGCTGCAAGAGCAACAGCAAGAGCAAGGGGAGCAGCAAGGAGCTGGAGCTGAAACTGCAGCAGGGTTGGCTGGCATGTCTCCCAAGCCAGAGCTTCCCCATTCTCAGCCGCTGTCGCCGCCACTGCCCTTGTCGTCGTCATTCAAGCGAGACCTGCTCCTGGCTCTGCTGGCCGATGCAATGCTGATCATGGCTTCTGTGGCGTTCTCTCTGGAGGCGAGGAGCCCCGCGCTGTTCTACGCGCTGGGGGAGCGCAGCATCATGTGCCTGAGGGACCATTGTGAGGAGATGCTTGCTGTTGTAAGGGAGGTGGCAGTGCAGGGGAATACAGGGTGATGAGTATGGCCCTGATCGGTACGCCGTCATTCCACAATGTGGATTAAGGAATTCGGCAGCCGCTGCAAGCTTTCTGTATTCCCTTCGTTGACTCGCCAGGTTAGGTCGTGCGGGAAGTCGGGTTGTATTCCCCCTTCTTCCTAGAAAGCTGGAATTCACATCGACTGTTGGTTTTTTTTTTAATTTGCCCGCATCCGCAGGCAGGTGCACTTTCTGCATTCCGTATTCCAGCCTTTCCTATTCTGGTGATCGGTACAACCCCGTATTCCAGGAGGCTCAGTGTGATTAAAATGATTTCTATTTCCGAGCCTACTCTCACAGTCACTTCACACCATCCGCATTCCGGAATAACAGCCTACCGATCAGGGCCTATGATGTTGATGCTGGTAGAGAGGCAGGCAGAGCAGCGCTGAACTTTAAGAATCAGCTTGAAAAAATATGTTAGGCATACAATCAGAACATAACGTTTTACTCTATCTAATCAACTGGTAGGTGGCTTCGTGGATTCAGGCTAGTGATTTGTTCCCCTACCAGATGATCACACACACACTGCATTGGGCTACGTTTTTGTTCCCAAGCTCACACGCATTCTCCCCCTTCCCTCCGTACGTCCTCACTTCTTCATCCTCTTGCCATGCATCCTCAATCTCGAATCACTCAACGCCCAGCCTTTCACCAGTGCCGCCCTGCTCCGAGAATTCTTCTCATTCTCCCGCCTAACTCGGTACCTTCCCATTACCTCCGCCTCTACACTGTCTAGTAGCCTCCACGTGTCACTGAACCGCGCTTGCAGACACATTGCCACCATCACCAGCGGATCTGTAATACCCATGCCACTTCTGCCAGCGCTGCTCGGGGTGGTCGCATTGGCAGTGCCAGCAGCACCAACAGCACGAGCGGCACTGCCAGCAGTCATCCCAGGGTTCGCACCCCCATCTATCCCAATGCAAGCATCCACGAAAGTGCTCGCGCCAGCTCCAATTTCAGGTCCATTTCCAATTTCAGGGATTGATCCCAACATCGACTGATACCTTGACAGATCTCCGCCTACCCGCACTCCACCCTCGTCCACCATCCCTTCACTGGTCAGAGTCTCTGCTGCAGCTTGGCTCTCCCCTGTGATAACCTGGGCTGGGAGCGTCTGGGCTGGGACCGTCTGGGCTGGGACCGTCTGGGCTGGGACCGTCTGGAGTTGTCTCTCAGACTCTTGCTGACGCTGCCTGGCAAGCAAGTGTTGATAAAACCGCTGCTCGTGCCGCTGCCGCTGCTGCTGCTGCTGCTGTTGCTGCTCGCGAATCTGCTGCTGCTGAGACCGCCACCTTTCCATGGCCTCGCTCCCAGAAACTGCAACCTTGACTTGGTTATCCGACATTAGCGCTGCCATGCGTCGCCTGAGCCCGCGCAGCAGCTTCTGCTTCCACGCAAGCGACTTCGCAGCGTCGATTTCCAGCGCTCGGAGCTTCGACGACGCCACGGAGGCGAGGTTCCTGCGATGGTCATACTGGATTTCGCGAAACGCTTCGTGAAGGTCCGATAGATCGGACGTCAACACCCGGGCGGATTTCAGGAAATGCACTCGGCTGCGGAGGTTGCTTGCTGCAGCGGGAGATGCGGGGAGGGGAGTCGCGAGGTGGGTCGCCATTTCTCGAACTTGCTGACCAGAAACGCGAAAGTCGAACGGAGAAAACAGGCGCCTCGCTGAGGTCACAAGCCGCGACTCTATTTTTCATGCGACGCCGCGAAATGGGGTGTGTATGGGGTGTGGAATTGCGGTTCGTGCTTGAAGGAGCAACCGGAGTGGAGCTTCGGGCGGCAGTTTTTGAAATTCGGAGCCACAGAACAGAGACTGAAATTGAGAAATTGAAGGAATTGAAGTTGGACTGAGAAATTGGAACCAGGCTTGTCTTTTCAATGTTTTGAGGTTGAACTGACGAATTCCATGAGGCTGCTGTTGTTCAGGTCCGAGAGAGCGAGGGGAGGAGTTCATGAGAAATTGGCGCGCAAGGCGAGACTGTGGCGTATGCTAGACGCTCCCTGGTCAGGTCAGTAAGTTTTGGCGGAAGGAGAAATGTGTAGAGGGGGGCGTGCTTCGGCCAGTTGTAGGGCAGCACCTGGCTACTCAGGCTTTTAGGAAATCCCGAAATTCGTCAACGACCAATCCTGGCGCCCCGCGAACAACCAACCATGGCAATGTCGTGTACTTCGCCTTTCAGTTATCGTGAAGGCAATGCTGGAAGCTCATGCGCCTGGCCCGCTTGCAGCACACCAGTCCGTCAGTCACACGCTACAGATCCGAGCGCGGGAAGACTCACTTATAAGGCAGAGTCGTCACCCGGGTCGGATATGATTACCATAAGTCTCTCTTACGCTGAACACATAATGCATGCCCTTGTGAAAGACTCCCAATTTCTCGTGAACTCCTCCCCTCGCTCTCTCCAACTTGAACAACAGCAGCCTCACGGAAGTCGTCAGTTCAATCTCTAAACAGTTGATAAGACGAGTCTGGTTCCAATTTCTCAGTCCAACTTCAATTCCTTCAATCTAGGCAATAAAAACAAATATGGGAACAAAATATTCGTTTAGCAGTTATTATGCTCACTATGCAGGGATGTCACCCCCAAGCCCCAAGGATCGTTATTAAGCACAACTAGAGAGCGATCTTAGCAGCGAATACCGCAGAGAACGGGGTCAGGTCCCTTGAGATGATCCCCGAAAGGATCAAGGTTCACCCACAGCAGCGTGAGCACCGACGACAGCAGGACGCCCCATACCAAAACCAGAGTAGGCAGCCGGTTTTCCCTCCCAAAGAAACCCTTGATGAAAGGGTATAGGTGCATGATAACCCAAAGTGCAAATGCCACCCTCGCAAGCATCATCCCCCATGCACTCACCCCACCACCGAGACCCTGGAAGATCCCAACAACAATTCCTGCTGCATTCAAACCAGCTAGAAAAGCAGGCGGCAGGAGGAGCCATGTCCACTTGAAGATATGAAGCTCCGAATACCCCCGAGCAGTGTCATCATCATCATCAGCAGCAGCATCGGGCTTCTCTTTAACTGCGATGCTAGTGTCGATCCCGACAACCACCTTGAGAAACCCTTGCGCAACAGCAAAGAGATGCGCCGATATGCCGCTAATCACCCAGAACTGTTCGTGCCTCCACTGCTCGGTCAAGGTAACTCCGCTCCACCGCACCTCGAGGATACTAGTAGCCATGACAACAGCCACGAGGGACAAGATGTAAAGCACCGCAGTGGTGGTTATCCGGGGGAGAATAAAGGAGTCCGCCAGGAGGCACATGGCAGGAAGAGCACAGTAAACCAGGAGAGGAACGGCCGTGAAGGGACCAAGCACTGCGTGAATGTACGCGACTCTCTGCAGCAGCTTCATGCGGCCGTGGCGCCAGCCGAACCAGACGGGACAGCGGGAGGAGAGGAAAATCTCCATCGAGCCGACAGCGGACAGCAGCACCTGATGCAAGCGGTTAGACAGGTTGAGAGTGGGGACTGAGGAGGAGCCGACGAAGGCGGCGCGGGGAGGGGAGCAGTACACGGAGCGCCAGCCCCGGGAGTGCATGAGGAGGCCTGTGAGGAGGGAGGAGGAGTGGAGGGAGCCGTAGAGCCAGCCGACGTGCCGGCCCCAGTCGGTGCGGTCCTCGTACCCGCAGGAGAGCACTCGGATGGCTTCCTTGAGGAGAGTGCCCTGGCTCACTAGAGCGGCACCGTGCCACCGCCCTGAAGAGCCTCCTCCTGCTTCTGCTTTTCCTACCGCTGCTGCTGCTGCTGCTCCTGGTGCTCCTGCTCCTGCTCCTGCTGCTGTCTGTGCTGCTGGTCGTGCGGTACTCCCTCGCTCCCCAGGGCTGAACCGGGAGTCATGGAAGGCGGAAAGGATGAGCAGAGGGGACTTGCCGAACCGGCGCTCATACCGCTTCATCGCCACGAGAGGAGTGGCCTCCGTATCCTCTGCAGAGGTTTCTGAGGCCGCTGTGTCGGCTCTGTCCTCCCTACTGCACGCGGCCGTGGGTGTGCAGCCTAAGAAATGCAATGGGGAGCTGGAAGCACCAGCAGCAGCAGCGGCAGGGATAATAGCAGCTGTTGCCCCGCCCCTCCTGCGCATTGTATCCACGCGTGTGTACCTCTCGATATCCATCACCACCTCCCCACCACCAACACCACCGACACCACCAGTTGTCGCTGCTGCTGCTGCGCCTGCCGCACCTGCACCAGCAGCACCACCAGCTGCCGTGCTTACTCCTGCCACTGCCTTGCCCCCTTCGTCCTGCTGTATCTTTCCCCGGCCCCAGCAGAACCAGGACGAGGAGGGAGGGATGGGCGCGGCGGTGCTAGTGCTGCTGCTGCTGGTAATGCCTGTGCTTCTAGTACTGCTGCTTGCGGGGGTGCTACGGGTGCCAGTGCTGCTGATGCTGCTGCTGCTCCTTCTTCTGCCTCGGCTGCTGGTGCCAGTGCTCCTTCTGCTCTTCCTGCTGCTGCTGCGGGTGGTTGAGTCAGTATCACGACCGCTGGTGGCACCAGGGGGCTTGGATCCGTAGAGTGCTTGCCTACGGAAGCAACAGCCTGAGCCGAGGAGAATGGGGCCTTGAACGCCGTCCAGCCCAGGCATGTCCACCTGAGAGGGGTGGGATGGGGTGTGGATGGATGGATGGATGTGCGGAGAGATGAGTTGGGAAAGACGTTGTGGGTGAAACATATGAGTTTCACACGAGGTGATGTGACATAAACGACGACAGCAGAAGCAAATAAGAGTGAGAACGGAAGCAGCAGCAGCAGCAGCAGCAGCAGCAGCAGCAGCAGGAATCAATGGGAGAGGGAGTGAGGGGAGAGGAGGGGGTGGAGGGGGGAGAGGGGAAAGGAGAGAGGAAAATGGAAGGAGAGAAGAGGTGAGCGAGAGGAAGACGGGGAGGCGAAGAGAAGAGACGAGCGAGAGAAAGACGGGGAGGGGAAGAGCAGACTCACATCATAGAAGATGGTATTGTGGTTGGCGTATCGGTCGCTCGCATCCACGCCGTCAAGCCGCTGAGGAAACTGCACAAAGCAGCACTTGCTCCCCACTCCCACCCCCAACCCAGCCCCCGGCCCCCCGCCCACCCCTGCCGGTGCCCCCACGTCCGCTCCCCCTGTGGCCGCTGCTGTCCCCGCCCCATCCATGAGAAAGCACATGGCCTCTCTAAGAGCCTCTGCGTTATTGAGATAGTGGTCGGAGTCCAGAGCGAGGACGAACGGGGCGTTGGTGAGTACAGCGGATACGCGGAGGAGGGAGTTCAGCGCCCCGGGCTTGCCGTGGTCGTTGAATCCCGGGCGCCTCTCCCGAGACACGTACACCAGCCGCGGCAGCTCGCTGCCCTGCTCCATGCCCCTTTCAGCAGTGCCCTTCTCGGCTCTCTTCTCCATCCCCTGCTCAACTCCCTTCTCAGTTCCATCAGCAGCAGCAAAAGCAGCACCAGCACCAGCGCCAGCGCCAGTGCCAGCAGCAGCAGCAGCAGCAGCGACACCACCATTCGGCCCCAGCAGCACCTGCACCAAACCAGGGTGGTCCCTGCTCCGGCTCCCCGGCCACGCCATGCCGTCATCCATGCTCCACTCGCCTGCCTCCAGCCCTTCCTCCCACTTTGCGGTTAGCTGGTTGAGCCGCATCTTCACCCCCTCCCAAGCAGATTTCACCGTGCGGCGGTCAGTGAGGAACGAGGGGTCGGTTTGGGAGGCTAGGTAGCTGGTTCTGCTGCTGCTGCTGCTGCCGATGCTGCAGGTGTGGCGGGAGGAGCAGCCCCACCCTCCGCTCGGGGTGTCCGCCCAAGAGCGTTCTGCTGCTGCTTCTCCTCTTTCTCCTGCTGTTGTTGCTGCTGCTGCTGCTGCTGGCCCCTCGCTGTCCTTGCTGCTAAGAGACCAACCGTCCTCGGAGGACCCACAGCCGTTGTATCCACCACCAGCATCACACGCACGAGCGCCACCATTAGCAGTTCCACTTCCAGCACCCCTTTTCCACACACTAGACGTTTCCCCTCCTCCTCCTCCTCCTCCTCCTCCTCCTCCTCCTCCTCCTCCTCCTCCTCCTCCTCCTCCTCCTCCTCCTCCTCCTCCTCCTCCTCCTCCTCCTCCTCCTGCTCCTCCTCCTTTTCCTCCCCTCCCGCCTCCACCCGGGAATGCCTTCTGTTTGAAATAAACCTCAGGGGCTCTGGGCTCAATGCTGTATTTCTTACAGAAAGGCACCCAGAGCCGGGCGAACTCCGCAACTAGCCCCACCATTTGGAAGGTCAGCAGGGAAGCGCCCTCGTCAGCCAGATAGCACGATACGCGGTCAGTGGGGTACTCCATAGCGAGTATGGAAAGGAGAGTGTTGGCTGTGGTTAGTGGAGGCTCCGATCTAGGGTCTCCAGTAGAGACAAAAACATCCACCGGTGCGAGATGGGAAACACCAGCAGAGGAGTTTTCATATCTGACCGAAAGCCTGCCCGGGAAGGTTCTTCGCCTGACTGGAGTCCATTTTGGAAACTGGTCAAAGATCCAGGAAAGAAAGAACCAGATCTCACATGTTACTGAGGCTGCCCATAGGGGGATGGAGCGGGTGTTGGGGTTGAGGATTCGCCAGCGCAGGAACAGGATCGTGACTATAAGGCGGAGGATTATAACGAGTCGGTACGGGTTCACGAGAGAGGCTGGTAGGCGAAGCTTCTGGGAAAGCGGTTGCCGGGATTCATCCGCTCTTGGAACATCTCCCCCCTCCGGCTCCTCCGTCTCCTCCTCCGCCCCTTCACAGTTTCCACTGCGGCCGTTGCTGTGCCCGTTATAGCATGCCTCACCAACAGCCATGAGCCTCTTCTGCCCTGCATGGGCTGGTTGCAGGGCGAGGTTTGAGCGGTAAGGCGCGACTGCTTTTTGTCGTGCGGAATCACAAGCAGGAGAATCGGACACTGGGGAGGTGGATGGGAGAGGTGGGAGAGGCAGAGGCATGGGAATTGGCACAGCAGCGTTGCCATCAGCAGTAACAGCACCAGCACCACCAGCACCAGCAGGAGCAGCAGCAGCAGCAGCAGAAGCAGCCGCTGAAGTGGCGTCTCTCCCCCTCCCTCCACTTCCTCTCCCCCCTATCCCCTTCCACACCACACTTCCATACCCATATGCCGTCTGGTCCTTACCAGGGCTTAAAGCCCGCACTCCTGCTGCTTCCTTCGCCCGCCTCTCCTGCTCCTTCTGCCACAGCAGCCACTGCTGCTCCCGTGTCAGCGGCTTTAAGAGGTTGCCTAGAGGGGTTACTGCAGCTGCTGGTAACCCTATCCTCCCCGACAGGTCGAGAGGGGGAGGAAGGGCAGCAGCAGCAGCAGCCATGGGGGGAACTGCACGAGTGCTTGCAGAAACAGTGGGAGCAGCAGCAGCAGGTGAGGCGTGAGGTAAGGTACTGGGAACAGCGGGGGGGGGAAGATGCACCAGGGATAGGTTGGGGGAGGCGTAAGGGGGTGAGGGGGAGGACACTCCGGGGAGCATGTAGGGGGAAGGCGGAAGAGGGGTGCAGGGGGAGTGGGCTTGCGCCCACGGGGAGCGGGAAAGGGAGGGGGAGGGAGAGGGGGAGAGGGAAGGGGAGAAGGGGAGGGAGTGAGGGTTAGGGAAGGATGAGGCGGAGGAGGAGGAGGAGGAGGAAGATTGCGTGGGTTGGATTGTGGGGGTGGAAGGGTCACAGGGAGAGGTGGGAGGAAGGGGAGGGATGGGAGGAGTGATGGGAATAACTGCTGGAGGGTCACTACGAGGAGATAACGAGAAGGAATGCGGTTGCCTGTAAGAGGCTAAGGGATTTGACCGCTGCTGTGGTGGCGTCTGCTGCTGGTGGTGGTGCTGCTGCTGGTGCTGGTGGTGGTGGTGGTGGTGCTGTTGCTGCTGCTGCTGTTGCTGCTGTCGTTGCTGCTGCTGCTGCTGCTCCATCTGCCAGCGGTAAAGCGCCTCCTCTCCCTCGCTCTCGTCGCTCCCCTCAGTCTCAGCGACAGAAGCAGCAGCCCCAGAATCAGCTGTAGCAGCAGCAACACCGTTTGACCTCACCCCATGATCAACCCACGATTCCACACTCGCAACTCCATGCACGTCATTCCGTAGGTGCCGTCCCGGGGCGAAAACGGTCGTCTCGGGTACCGACTGCGAATCACTGTTACATTCGCGCATTTCGTTACAATCGTCGCTGTAGGGAAGATGGCAGTTTAGGCACGCGTTGCTGCCTTCCTTCCTCTCGAATTCGAAGCACGCGCGGCAGACGGGGAAGGAAAGGTCGCAGCGAGAGCATGCGACGAATGGCCGTCGCCCGTCCGACGAAACGCCGACGACGTCGCTGCAGATCTCGCACGCGGGGAGCGAAAGAAGCGCCGGCGACGGGTTACTGCCGCTTTCGCTGATACGAAACCTCGTGAAATTATCGCCACGAGAGCCGTACATCGTCGAAACGGAAGGACGTAACACGGAGGAAGGAGACGACACGAATGCTGGAGAATTTAGTAGCGATTAGCAGTAGTTAATCCACGGCCGACGATTCCGAATCGTGAAAATCAAGGCAATGCTTATTAGCAGTAGTTAGTCGAGTCCACGATTCGCATAAGCAATGCTTATTCACTAGGTTCTCAGGCCGACTGTTAGTACTAGTGAGCAGGTCACGATGACTAGATGCATTTCTTGCCTAGAAGGAGCGAATCGGCGGCTGAAGATCTCAAGGGGACAAGTCAGTAGCTTAGACAGAGAGAGAGAGAGAGACCAAGAAGGGGAGGGAGAAAGAGAGAGATAGAGAGACTGAGAGATGAAAGCCGTAACTACTGTGATGACCGGACGGACCGTCAGACAGGGACTACTAGTGATGTGATCGCGCTCCCATCATAATTACTCGGACCACCACCACTACTACTACTACTAGCAGTTCCCCAGGCATTCGGGCCGAAAGCCGCGTGATAGGGGACGCGTGTTGTGGGATGGTCGAAACAGGAAGGGAGTGTGAGGTAGACTGTTAGTGGACACCAGTGGACGCCAAACACGGTGTGGACGGACGGCGTGGGACGTGGGGTGAGGCGAGGAGGTGAGAAAGAGAGCAAGGAAACGGAGCAGAGTCAGAATGGAACGGAGGGAGGAATCTGGAGGGAGGAATCTGGAGTCGTGTGGAAAAAGCGAGGAGCGAGAAAAGTCGAACAGGGGAAACCGTGTGGGGGACGCGCGTGGCGCAGAGGAGGACAGAGGGGAGGAAGATGGGGCGAATTTGACGCGAAAAAACACGACACGCGAATTTGACGACGGCGACGAGACGGACCTGAGTGGATTTTCTTCGCGTGTGGCAGGGAGGAGTCGCGATGGCCGGTGAGCGATATAAACGACTGTCGCAGAGGACGATAAACCACACGCACGATGTAGAGCGACTTCGCGAAAGACATTCGGCGAAGTTGCTGTTGTTGGCATCTCGCTCGTTTGGATGCCGGCGGAGCCGACGCGAGGGGAGGATTCGACGAGTCTTGCTTCACCACGTGGCTACATCCAGTTCCTCGACGCTTCGACAGACCAGGTTTGGCACCTAAGCAAGTGAGCCAGTGCCGTCGATCGTAAGGGCCCCTTCGACTCGGTAGAGTGTTCCTGTCGACCAAAAACAATGAGGTGGTGTTACAGGTGCTGATGGAAATGTCTGCTAAACAGGATTAGACGTCATGAGAAATTGACACACATAAACTGAACACAATATACTTCAACCGACTACAACCAGCCTACAGAATCCATTCCATATCCAAAGCATTGCCACGCAATCATCTCTTTACATCACGCAAATCACTTACCCCATCCTTGCCTGCGAAATTCGGGCCATCTGTGTCTACAAGCGTCACACCACCACCTCCTAGCTTTTCACCTTAAAGCCCTTGACTAAAATAGCAAACCCTATTCAAGTTGGACCCAGCTTGAACAAATAAGGGGGCTTGGTTTGAAGTAGAGTTGGGATTTTTCTATTTGGGCAGCTGGCTGTGTTCGAAATGGATCCGGAAGCAGTTGGTGCATGAAAGGTTTCCAATTCGGAGCGAAACCACTACTCATTTAGCGTTCGTCGTACTGCTTGCGAGGTGTCGCACTGTTTCTGAACCCCCCTGTGACACCCGAGAAGCAAACCTGGTCCCAACTTGAAAATCGAGTTAGGTTCCAGGGAAATCGATCGCACATGCGTCTTAGAAACTTAGGACTAAAGGTTCTTAAACTTAGGAGGCTAGGTTGGCTAGGATACTAGGAAGAAGACCGCCATGGAATGGCGTGAGGAAAAACGGATCTAGGAGGTGAGAGAATGTCGAGAAGAAAGGTGGTTGGATTAGGAAGAGAGGGGAGTACAAGGAGGGGTTTGTACCCCCTACAGAAAGGTTCAGTAACAACCTACCAAGCCTATATTAAATTATAACTTATATAATTTTAACACACCCCCTAGGCTTGGTAGTGTCAAGCCCACGCACACCCCCACACCCACACCCACACCCACACCCCCTAGCCCAGCACCCCCATTCCCAGCAGGAGCCGCAACGACTCCGGAAGAGGGTAGGTCTCACGGCCCCTTGAGACGGCAATGGCGGCAGCAGCGACAGTGACGACGGCGGCGGCGGCTCCAGGCCTGCGGCAACAGCGGCGGCGCCGGCGGCTCGAACGACAGAGGCTGGTGCGGCGGCCCCCGCCCTCTCGGCGGCATGTCCTGTCTCCTCGGCGGTGGAGAGGTCCCTCACATGGCAGTCATCGGCTGCAGCAAGAAAGGGGGGGATGCAGGGGAAGCAGGTGCAGGTGGGGGGGGGAGGGGAGGGGCGGGGCGAGGCGAGTCTTCAGCGACGCGCCATAAGTGGCGCGGCGCTTACTGGCAGGAGGGCGGGCAGGTGGCGGTTACGACGGCGTGCTGCCCGCTGCCGCCCATCCACGCTGCCGCGGCAGCATGACGACGCCGCCAGGGCGCGGCGTCGACGCTGTGGCGGCACGCCGACGCTGCAACGGCAGCAAGGTGACGCTGCCACGGCAAAGCGTCGACGCAACCGGCTGCGGCCCGACGGCGCCGTCGACGCTGCAGCAGGACGTCGACGTCGCGTCGGCAGAGGCAGCGTCGATGCCGCAGCGGGACGTCGACGCTGCGACTGCAGAACGACGGCCCGACGCCACGGCAGCGCGTCGGGCCGGTCGCGGCACGACGCGGCCAGTGGCAGCGCGACGTCGCCACTGCAGCAAAACGCGGCCGCCATGGCCGCTCGAGCTAATGAGAGTGAGGAGTAAATTGCGGAAGCGTGAGGAGGCGATCCAACAGGGAGGATCTCCTGCTCTGATACCATCTTAGAAACTTAGGACTAAAGGTTCTTAAACTTAGGAGGCTAGGTTGGCTAGGATACTAGGAAGAAGACCGCCATGGAATGGCGTGAGGAAAAACGGATCTAGGAGGTGAGAGAATGTCGAGAAGAAAGGTGGTTGGATTAGGAAGAGAGGGGAGTACAAGGAGGGGTTTGTACCCCCTACAGAAAGGTTCAGTAACAACCTACCAAGCCTATATTAAATTATAACTTATATAATTTTAACAATGCGATCCCTTCTGACACACGAATCGCTCAAGTCGCGAGCGCGTCAGAAGTGTCGCACTGTACAATTCACCAAGCTGATTGTTGCGTCAGCCAATCAAAATCGAGCAACACATTTCAGCTTCCTTTCCATCCGAAATTCACAACAGTAATTCTAGTCAGTCATTCTATACTTTAACCTGGTACTACTCCCCTTCCCCTTCCTCCCCCTCACTTCGTTCCTCGGCCTCCCCACCATCCTGCTCCTCACCTCCCCTCTCGACATCCTTCCCCTGCCCCTCCTCCTGCCCCTCCACCTCCAGCTCAGCTTTTACCGGTGCACCATCACCCGCCCCCCCTGTGGTTGCAGCAGCAGCAGCAGCTGCTGCTTCGGCTGCAGCTTTGGCTGCCACCTCGCCAGGCGGCGGATGGTCAAACTTACAAGTCACCCCGAATTTGCAGGTGCCAGTCTGAGGGGAAGCAGTACGTTGTGATTCAGAAGGGGAGGGGGCAACGAGGGAGGGGGAGGGGGGAAGAGAGGAGGTGGAAGGAGTGCGGGGGTAGGCCAAGGAGGGAAGGAAAGTAAAGTGGTAGAAAAGAGAGCACCGAGAAAGCGCTTGGTGGTCCAGAATTGACTGCGTGAATGATTAGGGGTAACCGACAGACGAGAAAACCAGAGACTGTAAAACGGAGTGGGGAGGGGAGGGGAGCCAGTAGAAGAAGGGGCATCTCCCATCAATGCGAATGGTGATGGTTGAAGTGAGTAAACAAGGTCAAAACATGGTCAAGAGAGGAGACGAGGCGAGGAGGAGGCACAAGGAGAGGAGCAAGGAAACACACAAGCAGTGGGCGGTTGTTAACCGTACCTTGATATAGAAGGCACATGTCACGGCATCCTGAAAGCGGAAGGGGGAGAAGACACACCACAGAAAACGGTCACGGATGCGATAGAAAGAAAGATAGTGCGAGGCAAAGCTGAGTGGGGTGGCGCCGACCGATCAAGACTGCATCGGCAGCACATGGGCTCAATTTCGCCAACAAGAGAAAAAAGAAATTGAGAGGCAGGGAGGGAAGGGGCAGTTGAGAAGGGAGGGGGTGGGGGGGAGGAATGGGGTGGGGTGGGAGGGAAGGTGGGGTGGGGAAAGAGAGGTGAGCGGGGAAGGGCGAACCGGACAGATGGTGACGTGGTAGGTTGGTAGGTAGGAAGGTGCACCTTGCGACGAGGGAGACCTGCAGCAGAGAGCTTCACTCCAACTGGCAGCGCACCAGCAGCACCACCAGCGGCAGTGGCAGCAGCAGCAGTGGCACGATGGTGAAACACAGGCTGAGGCATGCGTGGGGACGAGGACAGGTGCGCAGGAAGGGGAGAAAAGAACAGAGTCGACGCCCCCCCCCCCCCTCCTCCTCCCCCTCCTCCTCCTCCTCCTCCTCTGCCGCCCATGCCCCCATCGCTGAGAGGGAAGAGCATCGGGGAAGAAGGAAGGTGGTGGTGGTGGTGCTGCTGCTGCTGCTGCAGCTGCTGCTTTAGGGGGTGGTGGAACTTGCAAGAAGGCCCGAACTTGCAGTTTCCAGTCTTTACGTAGAACTGGAAGGGAGAGGTAACGGCAGGTGATGACCAGGGGAGGGGTAATGGCAGGTGATGACCAGGGGAGGGGGGAGAGGGGGGGGTGGTTGAGAGGAGGAGTGAGCGTTACAAAGGAACGGAGGAGTGATGAATGTGATGGGAAGGTGGTAAGAGCTGGTGGAGAGGGGTAGGGGAGAAAACGGAGATGGTTGAGAGTGGTCGTGCTGTGAGACACGGGGCACAGGCAACATGGGCAATGACCGACCAAACCAAGGCACTCTCATTTCAGGCGATTTTTGAGGCGCCTCAAAAACCAAGGCACTCTCATTTCAGGCGCCACAGGAAACACGCACTGAGCATTCAGGCTCCCCTGGGCGCTGCGGAAACTGCTGCTGCAGCTGGTGGAAGTGCTGCTGCTCCTGCAGCTGCTGCTGGTGATGGTGCAGTTGCAGCAGAGACATGGGTGACGGACCAGGCGGCAGCAGCGGGAGGGACATGGCAGGCGAGAGCATGCCCGGGTGGTGGGGAAGGAGCTGGGAAGGGGGGGGGGGGGGGGGAGGGGGGCAGGGGGGGGGTTATGAGAGTTGTATGAGAGGTGTAAGAGGTGTGAGAGGTGTGAGAGGTGTGGGGAAGACATGGGTTATGTGCTCAAGGCAGCAGCAGGAGGGATATGGCAGGAGAGAGCATGCCCGGGTGGCGGGGGAGGAGCTAGAGGGAAGGGCTGGTTGGTGTGAGAGGCATGAGAGATGTGAGAGAGATGAGTGCTATGAGTCCGAGCCTTTTTTTCTGTGGTAGAAGTTATGCGTCAAGTGGTCTACAGAGCATTTGCTACGAGCTTGTAGTTAGAATTGTCTAGTTGACTCGGTGGTTTGTTGCGTTACCTTTGGATGAGTTTCTGTCTACAAGTAATGGAGGCCAAAAACAGGGAGAGGGAGGATCGAGGAGAGGGGGGGGGGGGGCGGGATAGGGAGAGGGGGGAACAGCCAGCGAATTCAAGGGGCAAGGGACAAGGGACAAGAGAACAGCGAGCAGGGGGCAGGGAGCAGGGGGCAGGGAGTAGGGGGGGGGGGGGGGAGGTGGCAGGGGGCATGAGGTGCAGCATAGCTTACCCCTTGAGAAAGTAGGTACGATGATTGCACTGGACATCCTGGACCGATGGACACGTGGAGAGGAATGGAGAGATGAGTCGAGAGATCAATCGAGAGAAGAAGCGAGAGATGAATGTTGAAACGGCAGCCAATGTCGTTGCTGAGAGAGGAAAGGTCGGATAAAAAACCCCACAGCTCAAGACTGGGTTGCTTACGGAAGCCTGTTGCTGCTGCTGGAGAACGTCCAACCCCAGCCACGGCATTAGCTGCGGCGGCGGGCGATGCCAGGGCAGACGGGTCCGGGTGATTGAACCGGCAGTTGGGGCCAAACTTGCAGCTGGGGTGGGGGCGAAAGTGAGTGAGAGAAGGAGGGGGACAGAAGGAGAGGGGCAGGAGGGACACGCGAGGGGTGCGGGACAGGCAGGGGGGTTAGGGATGGCGAGAGCAGAAGCTTTGGATGGGTCTGGGTGGTTGAACTTGCAGTTGGGGCTGTACTTGCAGCTGGGGGGGAGAGGGGAAGCACAGAGGGGAAGCGCAGAGGGGACAATCAGGGAGCGAGGGAGATGCGGAGGTAGGGATATGAAAGGCAAAGGGGGGAGAGGGGGAAAAGAGAGGGGGAGGGGGGGGAAAGAAGAGGAGGGATGGTTGGAGCAGGAGAGCGAGCAGGGATATTTACATGAGTTTTTCTGAACGTAGCCCTTCTGGTCGGAACAGGAAAGAGAATTACATTGTGTATCACAGGGAGGGAGGGAGATGAGAAGAGCAACATTTGGAAGAGCTTTAAGAAACTACCTTCCATTCTTGATGTAGAAAGTACAGTCTGTCTCTCCCTGGTAAGAAACAACATGCACGATCCATGCACCCTCCCGTGCACAAGACGAAAAACCCAAACCCCCGACCCCCATCCCAACTCCCCATCCCCCCCTCATGTAACATGCAAGCAAGAAAAGTGTAGATGGTGCAGATAAATGAGTTGAACGAACAGTGGGAAAAACAAAGCTGAGTCGACTCAGAAGAAGAAACGACAAGGGGGGGGGGGGAAGGGGGGAAGGCATGGCTAAATCCGGAAAAGGGCTCCTTGTTAGAGGGGGAAAAGGGCATGGATGGAACCAAGCACATGACTCACATGATCAACAGAGTGAGCATGTGCCGAGAACCCAACCACTCAGAATAGAGCACGATACATAGATGCATGATCCAACATCCGCATTTCATTATCAACCAACATATTAACTCCCCCCGGCCTTTTCCAGTCCCACCCATGCATCCCCAACACTCTGCATGCCACACATTTCATCTCCCTTCCCCCCACTCCCCCCCCACTCTCCCCCACTCTCCCCCCACTCTCCCCCCACTCCCCCCTCTTCCCCCACTCCCCCCTCTCCCCCCTCTCCACCCTCTCCCCCCCAACACCATCCCCCTCCCCTCCCCCCACCACCGCGCTGACTCACCGGCCTCATAGGCAGTCCCACTGAGTTGAGCGCTGCTGGCTTGCCAAACTGATCCTTGCCCTTACCACCACCACTGCTGCCACCAGCACCAGCACCAGCAGCACCACCAGCAGTACCACCGCCACCACCACTCTTCTGTTCACCTTCCAAGCTACCGCCTGTCACCTCCTCCTTCTTCACACTCCTCTCCCCCTCCTCCTCCGTCTCCGCCTTCCCCTCGCCCTCCTCTCCCACCGCCGCTCCTTTCGCCTCCTCATCAACCGTCCCTTCACCCCCCCCTGCAGCAGCAGCAGCGGCGGCGGCTGCCCCTCCTCCTGCCGCTGCTCCTCCTCCTCCCCCTGCTGCTATGTTACTCTGTGGCCTTTCTGCAGGCCCGACTACTGGCGCCGCAAGTGCTGCTGCTGCTGCTGCTGCTGCAGCTGCAGCTGTGGGAGCTGTGCTGTCTTTTTTGCCGTTTGACTGAGAGCCCCCCGCCTTCGGCTGCTGCTGCTGCTGGCGGTCGGGAGGGTGGTTGAACTTGCAGGACATGCCGAACTTGCATGCTCCAGTCTTCATGTAAAACTGATTAGGGGGAGGGGTCAGAAGAAAGACGACACGCAAGGAACGCAACGAACACACACACAAACACACACACACACACACACGCGCGCGCACACACACACACTCACGCACACACACACACATGCGCGTGCACATAGACACACAGAGGAGAAGGGGGGGCGGGGGGTTGGGGGGGCAGTGGAGGGGAAGAGAGAGAGAGGACAGCACGCACAGGGAGAACGAGCGGGGAGCAGCAGAGGAGACGGGAGATGAGAGTCGAAATAAATCTCGCTCATTGGACCATAAAAGAAGAAAACAGGTGGGAGGGAGATAGAGGGGAAGAGGAAGCGAGTGGTAGCGAGTGAGATAGTGAGAAATCAGATCATGGGGTAGACATGGGGGGAGAGACCGGGGAGAGGGGAAGGGGGGAAGGGAGGGGAGGGAGGGGTGGGAGGGGGAGGAGGGGGGAAGTGCGGATGAGGCAAAAACATACCGCACAGTCCGGTTCACCAGGTCTCTCCGGATACGGCCCTCCAGAACCCTTCACAGACGTTTTCTCCCTTCCTGATCCATGGGATGTCATTCCACCTCCACTACTTCCTCCTCCTCCGCTCACGGCTGCTACAGGTAGCATCCCCAGCATGCCAGCCGATTTAGAACCAGAATATGCACCACGATACACACCACCACCACCACCACCTGCTGCTGCTGCTACCATCGCAGCCGTTGCCGCTGCCATTGCTGCTGCTGCAGCAGAAGAAGCAGACGCGCCAGGGTAAGCAGCAGAGGCGGAAGGGGCAGAAGGGGCAGACGGGGAGGAGGAGGCACGAGGGGGGTGGTGGAAGCGGCACGTGGCCCCGAAACTACACGTGCCATGGCGCATGTAATAGGCACACTCCTTCTCCCCTGGACGGACGGGGTACAGAGCCTGCTCCTGCTGTTCCTGCTGCTGCTGCTGCTGCTGCTGCTGCTGCTGGGTGGAGTAAAAGGCGTCTGCAGCAGAACCTAAGCCGCCTGAGGTACTAGAATCGTAGTATACATTGCTGGGAAAGGACGCGCCAGGGTCAGTGCCAGACGTTAGGTAGAGGGAGGAGGGGTAGGATGAGAGGGAAGGGTCATGGTGGGATGAGGGAGGGAGAGGGGGAAGATTGGTGCTGCCGAAATGGGGCCGCTTGGAAGGGTACTCGTAATAGCTCTGGTGGGTGGAGAGGGAGGAGCCTGAAAGGTGTGAAATGCCAATTGTTTTTTTTTTTGGAATGGAACCATGGTTTGTACAACCCGGTTGGAAGGAATTAAGACGAGAGTATGCATTGGCATAGGAACAGGAGCATATTACGCCATGGTAAAACGAGGAGGCATATCAATGGATGATGGAACAAGGCATAATATGGAGTAATGAAATAACAGCGCAGGGTCAAGGTTTTAAGGCAATAAGAAGCGAGGTTAATACGTGGAAATTAGCGAATACAGGAGGGATATTACCCGATTAATAGCGGTTATAATGGTGGCGGTGGTGAGACCGTTCGGTATAAGCACCGTTGCAGTGGTACCATATAGTATGGAATCCATGCCAGTTAAGATTGATAAGAAAACAGTATGCATAAGAGGAACACAAACCACACGCATCATAAGAAATGCATAACCATATAAGAGATATGCACCCCACACAGCCAGACATGCATACAGATAGAAACACACAAGGCCAACGATCGACACAGACATGCATAATAATTATAATACATATCGACATGACAAGGTGATACGCGATACTGATTGATAATCACGGAAGAAAGCGGAGGAAACAGTGTCAGACAGATACACATCCTTCAGAAAATACGAGACCTAAAAAAACGCGATAAATGTATCAAGATAATAATCAGACAAGCCAGGAATCAAACCCCAATGCCTCAGAATCGCACCTGCATCAGGACCGCGCTTAGTGGTCCCTCGCGTTGTGTGTTATGAGTCTATTTTTAAGTAAATTAGAAAATAGACTCATAACACACGGGCAAGCCGAGAATCAAACCCCGATGCCTCAGAATCGCAGAATCGCACCTGCATCAGGACCGCGCTTGTTCATCCCTCGCATCGCACCCTCGGCCGGCGACGATTCCGCATATCCCTGCACAGAATAAGCATTGCCCGATCCATGGCCATCCAGCATGATAGGCTGCTGAAGGGAAGAAGACGGGGAATCGTAGTAACCCTGCTGCTGCTGCTGCTGCTGCTGCTGCTGCTGCTGCTGCTGCTGCTGCTGCTGCTGCTGATAACCATGCTGTTGCAGCATGTTGATTGGAGGATAAGACCCGTGAGCGGTAGCAGCAGCAGCACCGGCAGAAGCCCCGTACGGATCTAACGACGACTGCATCGCGTGCCGATACGGATCCATTGTGCGCCGTAGTAGAACGAACGGATAAAATCAGAAGAAGAAAACAACGGTAGGCAAGACGGAATTCGGGAGCGAACGGCGAAGTGGATTTGGAAGTATGGTGAGGCTGCTGAACCGCGAGGAGCGCGTCGGGATCGTAGGACCCGGAAGTGAATGCAAAACACGTCGGGCACTTTCGGTAGCTTCCGGAAGTTGAAACTCAAGATCTTGCAAGCGCAACGCACGGCCAGCGTAAATGGTTCCGCAAGAAACGGTAGGAGACGCTACTCCTACCGTAGGATGAAGCTGGGAGCTGGCTAGCCCAGCATCAACACAAGAGTGGTTACTGGGGGAATGAGATTCTGCTGTGGTTATCCGAGTCTTGCTTGGTCATGGGAGAGGAGACGAGGGGGAACGAGGGAAGCATCCCCTCCCCTGGGAATTGATGGAATTTGGAGATGGCACTACAGTGATTCTGACGTATACAGTACAGTATAAGCATTTTGTAGAGATAAACTTCAACTTCTGATAATCAACAACATTTCCTTGAGCAAGGGCTAGTTGGATCTAAAACGTGCGTGAGGATTGTTACGCTAGTACACCTGACTTGGTAATGGTAATCTTCTTGTACGGACGATAAAACCCTCTCTCTGCTACTGTAGCCCTGGTGTCACCTATCATTTTGGCAGCCCTGCAAAAACAGAGAGGCAAAGGATGCAAGACGGCACGCAGGAACACGTCCGAAGGCCGCAAAAGGAGAGGCAAGAAGGAATAGTTAGGCTTAGGCTAACGGGATGGTTACGCACAGCTGCTGAGACATGGAAAATTATTGGGCAATTGACAAGGGATTGAGGAGAGGATAGAGGAGAGGAGTGCTGGTTTGGAGTATAACAATGGAAGGAAGGAGAGGCAGGCAGGTGGTGAGGGACGGAAGCAAGGCAAGAGGAAGTGAGGGGAGCAAGCTCGCAATGGCAATACTAGCCATAGCAATAGCTATCGGAATATCAAAAGATCTAGCAATACGGGTAGATAGCAGCAGCCATAGCCACAGATACTGACTTGAAGAAGCCATTGTCGGTGTTGTCCCGAACGAACGGCACCTCCCGAACCTTCTCCAGCACGCCAAACCCTTCCAACACACGCCCCACCACCAGGTGCGTGGAGTCTAAATCGGGGCAGTCTGTAAAGGAGACAGCAAACTCCGTGCCGTTAGGGGGCAGCCTGATGGCCTCTTCTAGAACTTCAAACTTGCCCCCTCGAGCCACCAGTTTTTGCTTGGGAGGCGGGATGGTGGGGTCCACGGCGAACAGGGCAACGGAATAGGCCTTGTTGTAGACTGGCCCGGGCTTTGCACTGGGAATGCGGGAGGGGTTGCGGGGAGAAGGAGGGCAGAAAATCTGTTGGGTCAAGCAGGCACACATGGCACTTGAATAACCTCAGAAGGCCCAAGCGAGCACGCTTGTCAAGGCAATGCAGACAGGCCTGCGAACAGACCCATACCAGCACAGTAGAGCTTGAGGTATTATTACAGATGCCATTACCACCACAGGCACCACCCCCACATGTACCACATACATCTGCAGTTGCTGCAGCTCCTGTGCAATGGCGTCCGCGTTCGTCCCCCCGACGAAAGCCGTGGGGTCCACCCCGGAGCCTGTGAGCGAGAAGGAGCGCAGAGTGCCCCCCTGCAGGTAGCTGTCGGTGAGGCGCAGGAACTCCTTGCGGCGGTACGACACGCCTGCCACGCCCTTCGCTAGCTGCGCGAACCGTGCTGCACCGATGGGCACGTCCTGTGGAGGGGTGGAGGGTTGGTGGGAACGGGGGGGGGGGTGGGGTGGTAAAGCTGTTCGTGAGGGGCAGGAACTCCTTGCGGCGGTACGGCACGCCTGCCACTCCCTTGGCGAGCTGCACCCATGGTCACGTCCTGTGGAGGGGGGGAAGGTGGGGATGGGTGGGTAGGTGGGTGTATGTGGGCCCATGAGTGATCGGTTGCGCTAGTTGCTAGCGACCCCTCACTTCTCGCGTTTGCTTCTTAATAGGTGCATTGCACTGCACTGCACTGCACCGCACAGCATTGCCCCCTGCATTGCGCTTCGTGGTTGTGGGGGATGTTTGTTGGAACAGCCCGAGCCAGAGCACACACACCACCCCCTCAACACTCTCCATCTTCAATCAATAGTCTGCATTACCGTCACTTGCATTGCATTGCCCCTCCCTCCCCCAAACCCCACCCCTCCGCCACCCCACACCGCCACCCACCCGCCACCCCACACCGCCACCCACCCGCCACCCCACACCGCCACCCACCCGCCACCCACACGTCCCCCACACGTCCCCCACACGTCCCCCACCCGTCCCCCCGGCATACCTCGCCATAGACGCCTATCACCAGTCGCCCCACAGGCGCGCCGTCCACGGCAATATCGAGAAACACCTTTTCCGTCACTCGCGGCGCATCTCCCGCCGCCGATCCCGCCGCCACCGCTCCGGCCGCCGCCTCCGCCGCCGCCACCGCTGCTGCTTCCGGCGCTGCCTCCTCCGCCTCCGCCATTCGCGGCGCCATCAGCGGCGCCAGCAGCGCCGGCGCGATCGCCAGCGCTCCGAGGACTTGCCGCCGGCACAGCGCATCTGCGGCCGCATCGTCCGCCGCGGAATGCGGGGTGCGCGCGTCGAGCTGCGCGGTGCTCTCTGCATTCGCGCCGGCACCGTTCGGCTCCGCGCCTGAACCAGCGCGAATCGCGGAAAATCGGCGATTATTTGCAGTAGCGTGCGACAGTCGGCATTGTGCCGGCGTCAAGAGGCCGGCGGAGCGGAACGGTAGCAGCGAGACTGCATTGCGCAATCCGCCTCCGCCAGGGGCCGCAGTGGATGCGCGGAGTGCGGAGTGCGCGGGGGCAGCGCGCGTCTGCGCAGCAGGGGGAGCGAGCGCGTCCATGCGGAGCGGGGAAATGCGGACAGACTCTGTCGCGCGGCTTGCTCGGGCAAGAGCGGAAGGAATGCGGCTAGTGGAGAGCGGAACTAGAACCATAGAGCGATGTGAAGTGGCTTCACGTAGCTGGGAAATGTGAAGTCGGGGCCGATGTGACTGTGTCGAAGGGTCGAAATCGATGTGTGAGTGAAGTGAAGCCAATCAATTTATCCTCCAAGAGAGGCTCGGCTGACATGGACCCTAGAAAATCCGTGACTCGCGGATGCATGCACCTGAAAATAATAACTACATGTAACACGCACAACAGTGTGCTTTTGGGGTAAATAAACGTATCGATAGACCAATAAAATGCTTTAAGTCAAATGAAATTATTAACACACTACATTTTTTATGACAAATATCTTATATAAAAGAAATATTTTAGATAAAAGGCTGATTAGGTCATGAACCAAGATAGGGATGGACGTGCTTATTTTAGAGAAGCACTTGGCAATTGTATCCAACCGGACTTTTAAAAGTTAAGGGTCGCTCTTTTATTGAAACAGCTAGTTGACACCAGACTCTAATAACGGAGTGGCAGAATTCGGCAACAAAAAGGCTGCTGCTATTGCGGGCAATTATCTCTGTGAAGCCTGCCAGCGACTTCGGGCTTTCCGTCCATTTGTTGTCTTGTTTTTCACTCAGCCGTTTTGTATTCTGTCAGATAGATATTCGCAGCTCCATAGCGCCTTAACGAAATCCCTGACGGTTCCAGGCGTCGGGAGGGATTCTGTGACAGGAGAGAGAGAGAGCGAGGAGGGAATAGGGGAGGAAGAAGCGAGGGAAAGAGGGGGAGAGCGAGTTAATTGCCATGGCGAAGGCAGTAATCACCTGACCAGGAGTCAGGACTTGGAGGGAGTTGGGGAGTTGGGGAGTAGAAGCCAAACGGTTATAGATTCCTGTCCCTGTTGTCCTAAAGGAGGACGGCAGTGAGTCAAGCAGAAAACGAATACAAAGCGCCGCCATCTGGTCACAGAAGGAGGAGGAGAGTATACGAACGGGGTTTCTCCAATGAATTCCGTTTCCCTCCGCTCTCCATAGCTCCCTAGCTCTCTACCTCCTTAGCTCTCTACCTCGCTATCTCTCTACCTCCTTAGCTCTCTACCTCCTTAGCTCTCTACCTCCCTATCTCTCTACCTCCTTAGCTCTCTACCTCCTTACTGACTCGTTCCCGGCTTAGTGTGAGCCTACTGGGCATCTTCAGCGGGCTTACCTCTGAGACTTCTCAAAGCTTAGTGGATGGAGAAGATTTAGTGAAAACTTATCAGATTTGATTGTGGTGGTACTTACTTAGTGGTTGTCAGGGGGGGTACGCTGGTTGAGGGGAGGGTTGTGGAGGAGTGAGGGGGTTGGGTGAGGACGAGTGAGGAACGGTGCAGCATGGCAGTCCCCACTCTCAATACGCCGTTCCAGCCGTATGTATACCAGGTGTGACGTGTACCTGACGTGTACCAGGTGTGACGTGTACCAGGTATGACGTGTTCCAGGTATGACGTACCAAGTTCCTCGTGTATCAGGCATGCGGTAATTAATAGCTATATTCAGCTAGTACCCCTCTCTCCCCTATCTCTCCTTTCTCCTCTCCCCCCCTCCTCCCCCCCGTCGCCCCTTTCGCTCTCCCCCCTCTCCGCCCTCTCCCCTCTCCCCTCTCCCCTCTCCCCTCTCCCCTCTCCCCTCTCCCCTCTCCCCTCTCCCCTCTCCCCTCTCCCCGGCAGAGCCCTCAAGCAGTGCTGACGCCGTTTCAGATATTGGGAGGGGAGGCGCAGATTGTGCAGATCATACTCAAACCAGGGGAGAGAGTGCGAGCAGAGCCAGGTGCGGACAAGGGTGGGGGGTAGGTGGGAGAGGTGGGAGAGGTGGGAGAGGTGGGAGAGGTGGGAGAGGTGGAGGAGGTGGGAGAGGTGGGAGAGGTGGGAATAGCCCGATCATAGTGAAGCCAGGGGAGAGAGTGCGAGCAGAGCCAGGCGGGGATAGTACTCCAAGGGTGGAAATGAGATGAACGTTCTCTCCTTGGTTGGAAATGGACAACGCCGAGGCCAGGGGAGGGATGTGGTTGCAACCAGGTGCGTTTTGAGCCGAGGAAGCGTAGGCTGCTCCAAGAGTGCCGAGGTCACTCCTTTCGACACTCGCTCCGCTCGTCATTCGAGCATTCGTCTCTCCACCACCTCTGACACTGTACTGGTCGCCTTAGCTTTTTGTACTGACCGTCTATCAACCTTCTTTTGATTTTCGTGTCGGCCCGGTGTGTACCATGTGCCATGCTTTACACATCAGTGGTAACATGAGGTGATATGACACTATCTCTCTCCCACTCGTGTCTCGGCCCAGGCGGCATGTGTTACACGAGTGGTAACAGGAACACCACTCTTTCAGAAACGATCCCCCCTCTATCTCTTCTTGTCGTCCCACGGCGCCCCCGCCCCAGGCGCCATGTGTTACATGAGTGGTAACATGGAAACTACGCTTTTCCTGCCCCTCCTCGTCCTTCCCAGGCGCCATGTGTTACATGAGTGGTAACATGAGTGCGGAGACAGCGATGGAGGAGGGCAGCGTGTGGCGGTGGCTGTCAGGGGAGAGCTTCTTCACCAACACGTGAGTGGCATGCTAGGGGGGAGGGGGGAGGAAAGGCGGGGGGTTGGGGGAGGGATGCACAATTTAGGGAGGGGGAAAAGCATGTGTGGAAGGGTTTCGATCAGGAGGGCAGCGTGTGGCGGTGGCTGTCACGGGAGAGCTTCTTCATCAAGACGTGAGCGGGTGTCAGGGGGGTTGTAGAGGGAGGGGGGAGGGGAGGGGGAGGAGGAGAGGGGAGGGGCTATACAAGCGAACGATGGTGGAAAATCAAGCGTGGAAGGGGAGAGGTTCTTTACCCTCACACGTGGGTGAGATGCTAGGGAGGAAGGGGGGAACACGGGGGGGGGTGAAGAAGGGGGGGAAAGGGCTGGTGCAGTGTGGTGTAGTGGGGAGGGGAAGGGGGGCACCGAGAGGGAGGGATAGAGGGTCAAGGTGTGGCGATGGCACGTGTGACATGGCTAATGCTCTTCCCTAATGCCGTATCTCATCCCACTGCATGTCCTATGCCATGCCATGTCTCGTGCCATGCCATGCCATGCCATGCCATGCCATGCCATGCCATGCCATGCCATGCCATGCGTGGTGATACCATGCAGGTTTGTGAACCAGGGACCAGGCGAAGGGTACATAGGACTCGCAACACCTACCATGGCGAAAATACTCCCGGTGAGGTTTTTTCTCTGTTCCCTCCCTCCCTCCTCCCCCCACACCTTCAGACGCCTCCATACCTCCGCACCTCCATACCTCCGTACCTCCATGCTTCCGTACCTCCGTACCTCCATACCTCCGTACCTCCATACCTCCGCACCTCCATACCTCCGTACCTCCATACCTCCGTACCTCCATACCTCCATACCTCCGCACCTCCATACCTCCGCACCTCCATACCTCCGCACCTCCATACCTCCGCACCTCCATACCTCCGCACCTGCGTACCTCCGCACCTGCGTACCTCCGCACCTGCGTACCTCCGCACCTCCGTACCTCCGCACCTCCGTACCTCCGTACCTCCGCACCTCCATACCTCCGTACCCCCGCACCTCCGTACCTCCGTACCTTTTTGTTGCCCTCTTCTCCTGAGTTGCTCTGCTCAGCTCCGCTCGTGCTATTGCCCCACCCTGCTCGTCCTGCTGCCATTGCCCTGTTTCTGCCTCTCACCCGCGTGACACGTTACTGCCTCTCACCCGCGTGACACGTTTCTGCCTCTCACCCGCGTGACACGTTTGCAGGTTGACTTGGCCGTGCATGGGGGCGAAATCATATGCCAGGTATTCCCACCCTGGTGTCTCTCTGAGTGCCCACCCACTCCTTCCTGGCCTGTCTGCCTGGCTGCCTGCCCATCCGCCCATCCGCCCATCCGCCCAACCGCCCGCATGTCTGTCTGCCTGCCTGCCTGCCTCCCCGCGCATTTGTCTCCTTATTGCTCACCCTACCAGTTGAACCAAGGTTCTGTCAGCTCGTGAAGCATGTTGTTTGTTAGGTGTTCCATGTGCTTTCGCATTGCTTCGATCCTCAGTCCTGATTTGACTGATTCAAACCGCTGAATATCGGTTGTGTCATGTGTGCTCGTCTGCTGCTGCGTGCGTGTGTGTGTTTGTGTGCGCGCACGAGTGTATGAATCCATACGCAAGTGTTGCGTGCATGTCTCTGCGCGTGTGCATGCGCCGTTGTGCCCCCTACCAACAACAAGTCGCCCATTTCTGTTCACTCAACGCCGTCACAGTCACTCTCACAGCACAGATGGCTCGCAGACTGAGAGTGCTGCTGTGCATGCACAGTCTCATCTTTTAGGCGCCTCAAGAATGGACTGTGACTGCATAGCCTCGTCTACTCTTGCTCGCGCGCGTGTGTGTGTGTGTGTGTGTGTGTGTGTGTGTGTGTGTGTGTGCATCTGTGTTTTTCTGTTTGAGTCCATGTGCATGCGTGTGCATGCGTGTGTGCATGCGTGTGTGCATGCGTGTGCATGCGCGTGCATGCCTGTGCATGCGCGTGCATGCGTGTGCATGCGTGTGCATGTGTGTGCATGTGCGTGCCTGCGTGCTTGCGTATGCGTGTGCATGTGTGCGTGCTTCTGCGTGCTTGTGTGTGCATGTGTGTGTGCATGTGCGTGCACGTGAGTGCATGTGTGTGCATGTATGAGCATCCGCTTGTGGTGCCAATGTGTGAAAATCTGTACGTGCACGTGTGTGCTCTACCTGTGTGTGCTCTACCTGTGTGTGCCACCATCAGCGGGACGCGTATCTCTGTTCGCTCAACGACGTCACTGTCACAGCAGAGCTGACTCGCAGGGCCCGAGTGGGGCTCTTCGCCATGGATGTACGTTCCTCTACTCTCTACCAACCCGCCACACCCCACCCCCGACTTCCATTCTCACGAGGAAAGCCCACAGCAAAGCTTACACCAGAAATGACTCGCAGGCCCAGAGTGGGGCTTTTCTCCATGGACGTATGTCGCCCTCCCGTCCCTCCCCTTTTGAGATGGCTTAAAGCCCACTTCTCCCCCTTGTGAGACGCCTCGTACCTCACAGCAGAGCTTGCTCGCAGGCCCCGAGTGGGGCTATTTGCCATGGATGTACGTTGCCCCAAAAGACCACCCCCACCCTCCCTGTTGAGGGACGCCTCAAAAGGTCACCCCCCCACCGTCCCCCTTCTGGGGCATTTCCGTTTGTTCACAGCAGAGGTGACTCTCAGGCCCCGGGTAGGGGTCTTCGCCATGAGTCGACTAAAAACGAGATCGCTAAAGCACGTAGGGCCCTTCGCCATGGGCGTACATTTCCTTCCCCTCCCCATCCCCCACCCCCGGTTGGGCGCTGTAAACCCCCACCCTCCCTCTTTCTCTGCATTTCGTGCCATGAAAAGTCATAAAACAGAAGTAATATTTTAGTACCCTTCCGAAAAGTCATATTTCAATGCGATCGCTTCTCACCCCATAATGTGTCGCACTGCTCTTCCACACCACACCACACCACACCACACCACACCCATCCATGCCATCAGGGTCTGTTCTACCAGAAGCTAAAAGGCAGAGGGCTTGCGTTCATCTCTGGCGGAGGATCAAGTGAGTGAGTGAGTGAGAGAGAGAGAGTGAGAGAGTGAGTGAGAGAGTGAGAGAGTGAGTGGGCGGGCGAGTGAGTGAGTGGGTAGTTTACCCAGAAGTCAAACTGCCATTACCCGTCCTTGGTACTCACCTCTTCTCTCCTCTTCTCTGCCTTTCCCAGTAGTGCAGAAGAACCTGGCAGCGGGCGAGGGCGAGGTGGGGGTGGTGGGTGCAGGCAGTGGTGGTGCTTTTTCTCCTGTCAATTACCCCTCTGCCCGTTTACCATACCCAACACTCACAGTAGTGCATAAGAACTTGGCAGCGGGGGCGGAGGTGGTGGTGGTGGATGCAGACACTGGTGATGCTGTTGCTCGAGCTGATAGGAGCGCGTTCAAGCACTCATTCCCCATCCTTATCCTTCCTATCCTTTTCTTTAACCGCATTCCAAGTAGTGCAGAAGAACCTGGCAGCAGGGGAGGTGGTGGTGGTGGATGCAAGCACTCGCGATGCTGCTGCCGGTGCTGGTGGTGGCAGCTACTCCACAACGTCAGCTCACCTTTTCGGCACCGTCTGCTTCTCCCATGTCCCCACCACTCCCACGTTTACAGTAGTGCAGAAGAACCTGGCAGCGGGCGAGGTGGTGGTGGTGGATGCAGGCAGTGTGCTAGCGCTCACTCGCTCTGTTGACCTGGACGTGCGATACGTGGGCTCAATCAAGAAGGCGCTATTTGGGGTAGGCGCGATTTGGGGTAGGCGCAATTCGGGTCAGGCGCCATTTGGGGTAGGCGACATTCGGGGTAGGCGCCAGTCGGGATAGGCGCCATGCGGGGGAGGCTCAATTTGGTGTCGGCTCTCTCGTTTCTTTAGGCGACTGGGAAAACAACATGCTCTGTCCGCACACATACCTCAACAGGCCTAGAGTTGAAACCACGGAAAGGCAACGAGCCTCCGAGGCTTTGCCTTGTGAAGTCTCACTTCACTGGTTTCAGGGCATGGGCCGACTTTTGAGGCGCCTCAAAAGATTTCAAGGCATGAGCCGTTCTTCTCAGTTCCTCTCACAGAGGCAAAGGAAATTCGCCTTGTCCTTTATCCTTATCCATCTCTCCCCATCTCCTTATCCCACTGTTCTCTTTTGGTTGGGCATCTGCCACGCCTGTATCACGGGGCCTTTTTGAGTCGACTCAAATGCCACTTTTGAGTCGACTCAAATTTTGAGTGTGTAGTGAGTCGATTTTTTAGTCGACTCAAATGCCACTTTTGAGTCGACTCAATTTTTTTGAGTGTGTAATGAGTCGATTTTTTAGTCGACTCAAAAATCGACTCATAACACACGCCTGTATCACGGGGCCTGGAGTGGAGTGGGTTTCCTGTCCACTAAGCGCATCCCGCATACCAACTCAACCATTCCTTTTTGTGTGCCGTCTCTTGCTTGCCTCGTTTCCCTCGCAGGGCGAGGGCATCTGCCACGCCTACCTCACAGGCCCTGGAGTGGTTTTCCTGCAGAGCCTGCCCTTCCATAGGCTCGCACGCAGAGTGGAGAGGTGAGGAATTGAGACCAGAGGGGCTTAGAGGAGCAGAGAGAAGGGGTCATGAGGCAGGAGCAGCAGCAGAGAGGGGGTCCTCATTCAGATCAGAGTGGTTCTCTCTATTCCTGCAGAGCCTGCCCTTCCATAGGCTCGCACGCAGAGTGGAGAGGTGAGGAATTGAGACCAGAGGGGCTTAGAGGAGCAGAGAGAAGGGGTCATGAGGCAGGAGCAGCAGCAGAGAGGGGGTCCTCATTCAGATCAGAGTGGTTCTCTCTATTCCTGCAGAGCCTGCCCTTCCATAGGCTCGCACGCAGAGTGGAGAGGAGAGCGAGGTGACGAGAAAGCAGGGGCAGAGAGGGACCAGTCGTTGTGACTTTTGAGTCGACTCAAAAAGGTGACTTTTGAGTCGACTCAAAAAGGTGACTTTTGAGTCGACTCAAAAAGGTGACTTTTGAGTCGACTCAAAAGTCACCGCGAGTGGGGTGACGAGAAAGCAGGGGCAGAGAGGGACCAGTCGTTGGAGCGCGAGACAGGAGCAGGCTCTCTGTTGCCCCTAGGGTGCTCTTTTTGTTACCCACTCCCCCCACTTCCCATACGAACCCCAGCTACTCTTCCCCATCTCCCCACGTCCCCAGTCTTCTTCCCACCTAACCAATTCCTCTCAGGGCCATAGTATGCTTCTGAGTCGACTCAGAAAGGCACTCTCAGGGCCATAGTCTAAGCGAGCCCTCGGTTGCGGAAGGGACCGACCCACCCCTGTTCGCCCCTTGCATTTTTCATCGTTCCTTCCTCCTGTCCCACTCTTCCCTCCCACGGGTCCCCCCCCCATCTCTCAGGGTCATCGCGAGCTCTCGGTTGCGTGAGGCACCGGCGCTATGGCTGGCTGCCCCTGATGCTCTCACCTCGCTCCTCACTCCCCCTTCCCGTCCGTGCTTTCCTCATCTCCGCACGCCCCCCCTCCCCTCAGGGCCATAGCGAGCCCTCGGTTGCGCGAGGCGCCAGCGCTGTGGCTGCGGCTCATGCTGTCGGTCCTTTTGCTGTCCATGCTGCTGACCGCACTCACATTCGCACAGAGCCAGCTCAACATGCTGGAATTCCGGCTCAACCTTCCATGACATGACATGCCTACCCTTCACATGCCATGCCTTCTGCTGCTGAGTCGTTGCTAGACTGGGGCGTACCGACCTACAACCTACTCATTTGCACTGCCTCAGTGAGCCACTCCTGGTGGCAGCACATGCACTGGTGCAGTTTACAGCAGACCCAGCTCAAGATGACTTACTTCTGGCTCAACCTGCCTTGATACTCGGTATGATACTGGTTGACGCGGGCTCTACCATCCTCCCTTGACATCCCAGGCTTGATCTGAGCATTCTCACATCACATTGCTCTCCATGCTGCCGGCCACACTTGCATTTGCGCACAGCCAGCCGTAACGTGATGTTCTGTTAGTGGTTCAAGGCAACCAGCCCTTATGAACGTGCTAGGCAATGCCATAGCAGCATAGCCGCCTCCATCCATGTCATGTACCGGTACCGGTTACCGGTACCGGTTACCGGTACTGCTCTCACTGGTGTTAACAGCGGCACTTCGTGTACCGTACTTCTCGTCAAAGCTGTGTTTTTTAATCTCCTGAGATTGCTCTGCTGTGTTGATCTTGTATTGTATCATCGAGAGCTGGGCTGAAAGCCATACTAGTATGTGAACGTTGACTGTGTGGCTCAACTCTACTACATGGAGGGGGATTGGTTGGTGATTGAATCAGAATACAGAAGACGACCGATAAAGCAGCAGCAAGCTGCGCCAGCAAGCTGTCCCCCCTGTGGACAGCATATCTGACTGTTGATCCTCCGCAGGTTACAACTGCATATATGGTGGTGTGGTATGGTAGGTAAGCTCCTGTTCGGTGATTGAATCAGAATTCAACGCGAAACGAGGTGGGTCGGTGGGTGAGTGGTTCCGTAGCAGGCCCTGCTGCAAATACCGGTAGGGTAGTACCAGTCACTCAGGCCTCATGGTGCCTGCAGGTGGTTGGTGTGGGGGCATCAGGCAGCAGAGTGGGTAACAAGATGTGTGTATCAATGAGAGATGGTGGTGGGTTGGAAGCAGGGCAGTAGTAATAATCAACCCGCACACACACACATGCAGGGCGAGGCTGACAATAATCACCAAGCTTGAAGAGGTTTACATGGGACATAGAACAGGGAGATGACGTTTTTCGCACAGCACCACCACAAACTGCACACACCCACAATGCAAAAATAACCAACTAAACTCAACTCCCCCCATCTGTCCCCCCACCTTCCCCACAACCCTCTCCCTCCTTCCCCGAATGCCCTGCATCCCTTCTCTTACTCCCCCCTCCCGCTCCCCCACTTCCCCCACAACCCCTTCCCCCTCCTCCTTCTTTGTCTTCCCCGTCCCCGTCCCCTCTCCCCACCATCCCCCATCCCCCCCCGCGCACCGCTCCCCGTCTCTTCTGTGTGGAGCGCCTCCTCGATCTGCTTCTCAAGGTCTGCCGCCGCCTTGAAAAAGACAACCTAACTCTAAAACCCGCCCCTCCCTCCCCTTCCCAACAACCCCTCCCGGTTCCTCCCCGCCCTCCACCCAACCTTCAACCGCCCTCCACCCCTCTTCTCTGTCCCCCCCCTCTCCCCCCCCCTCCCCTCCCCCCCACCCGCTTAACCCACACCCCCCTCACCGATGAAGCGTCTCTTCTGTGCAGAGCGCGCCTCCTCAATCTGCTTCTCGAGGTCCGCTGCTGCCTTGACCTCAAACGCCACCAGCTGGTTCGCCGCGTATGCGCCGATGCCCATGCCCAGCACGTGCTCCCAGGGGTCTGGGGGAGAGAGCGAGAGAGAGAGAGAGAGAGAGAGAGAGAGAGAGAGAGAGAGAGAGAGAGAGAGAGAGAGAGAGAGAGATGATGATGATGTTGTCTGGAAAACAGATAGTCCGTTCTAGAAGCACCCCAAACGCCACCAGCTGGTTCGCCGCATACGCGCCGATGCCCATGCCCAGCACGTGCTCCCAGGGGTCTGCGAGAGAGAAAGACGGGGGTGGGTGGTGGGGGGGTGCGTGAATGATGTTGTTGCAGGGGGAAAAGGATAGTTCGTTATGAGGCACCGTGAATGAAACCGGTAGTGTTGCACAGGACAACAAGCCCGCATGTGCGCCGATGTCCACGCCCCCAGCACGTGCTCCCACGGGTCTGCAAGAGAGAGGGCCGTGCGTGGATGGGACCCTAGCTGCACAAAGAAAGGTAAAGATGGTGGTCGTTGTTAATGGGGCGCCTCAAACCCTAGCTGGATTGCCGTTAGTGCGTGGATGCGCAGGCCCCCAGCACATGCGAGACGAGGCCTAGGCCCTCAGGCTCCCAGGCCCCCAGGAGCACGGGCTCCCAGGGGTCTGCGCGAGTAATGCTAGAGACGACTGCATGGCAGACGGAGGAGCGGGATGCGGGGAGGGGTGGGGAGGGAGGGAGACTGACAGAGGCGGCGATGAGGAGGACGGGGAGTGATGAGTGAGGAGGACGGGAAGGGGCACACGGGTATTTCAGTCCGAACGGATGTGAACCGATGCTATCTTGAATGGCGCCGTTGCAGTTAGCTTGACGCACCGCTACTCGGAACCGGCGGCAATGGAAGGGGAAGCAAGTCAAGGAGATAATTGAGTAGAATGTATGGAGTCCGCTTCGGAATCGCATAAGAGGCTGTTAGGGATCCTCTGGCTGAGAGCTAAGCGTTTTTTGAGTCGACTCAAAAGCCACTTCGCGGTCGCATACGAGGCTGTTAGGGATTCAAGAGCTAAGATTGCCGTAAGAGGCACCGCGAAAATGAGGCGAGCGACAGGTGATGACGCTTTGCGCGACCACCTGATCGCCTGATCGCCTGATCGCCTGATCGCCCATGGATTAGCCCCAGATACCAACGTCGCGTGATCGGACTCACGTCGCATGATCGGACTCACGTCGCATGATCGGACTCACGTCGCATGATCGGACTCACGTCGCATGATCGGAGTCACGTCGCATGAGCGGACTCACGTCGCATGAGCGGACTCACGTCGCATGAGCGGACTCACGTCGCATGAGCGGAAGCTTTCGCACGGCGTTACTGTAGAACTGCACGCCCAGGCCCATCGCAGCGCCGATCAGAGTCGCAGAGGCCGGCATGATGGCGGATTCAGTCGCGCAACGACGACGACGACGTTAGCGAAACCAAGCGACGTGATCTAGACACCCTGCGACGACGCCGGAGTGACGACCAGGCGGTGGCTGCGGTGGCTACGGTGGCGCAAAGGGTTGTAAGGAAACCAACCAACGGTGTGCGGCAAAAGCGCGGTTACCGGACCACAGCGGAAGCGGGGGAAGGAAGGCCCGCGCGGAGACCACGGCGGTAGGGGGCGGACGGGCGGAATGAGTGGCGGGTGTTGGGGGGACGGTGAAGCATGAATGGAGGGAGGAGAGGGAGCAAGGCGAGGGTAGAGCAGTATATTCTCGTTTGCACACGCCCCGCTGGGGAAATTTGCGGTGGCTGGTGAGGTACAGTAATTGTGCTAATAAGGGCATTATGGATGCGTGAGTGTATTATGGATGAATGTAAGTGTAGCGAGCTTCACAAAGCCTTCTATGCGGGAGTGATTGATTAGTTGTGAGAATCATTGTATATCGAGGATGTAAGCTGGCTGGGCTAACTGTTGATGACACAATGAAGGAATGGCCCCCACTTGACGAATTCCCAATCACGTGACTCGACCGTACTGTACCATGTGATTATTTGTCTTTAAACGCCAAAACCTCTTTTCACATTACTGTACCGTTGTGACCGTTCGAACGGTACCCTGTTCGTGATTGTATGTTCCACGCCCTTAGCTTGCCCGTCCAAACATTTGGAACATCAACAGGAATTCGCCCACTGGGGACACCTATTTGGCCATTTGGCCTCCGCGGAGCCAGCCTCCTCCAACTGGGCAGAAGCCTGGAAAAATATCGCATCGTCTGATCCGCGCTGGCCTGATTGGCCTGGCGTGCGGCGACAGCACCAATCTGACGGCAACGGGCTTCCATTCCACGCAGCACCCGCGTGATCTGGAGGAGTTTGTGCTGGTGCGATCAGCCACGGCATTTGAAGATCGTCTACAGTCGTTTATTCTTATCCAGAGTTTTTGGAACCCAGATTCCAGAGGGACGGAAGGAATCAGCTGGACACTATTGGCCTGGGCTGGACGCCTCCATCCATCCAACCCCATTTACCTTCGCCTAGTTGAATGACGACGCTTGCTCACAAGCATATCTCCTTTGTCAAGCCCTTCTCAGGGGCTGCCGTTGCTCATTCAGTTTCTTCCAGATCCTCTTGGTCGCCGCCTTGCTCGGTTTCTTCGCGACGACTTAAACTTGTCGTTCGAGCTTCGGCAAGAAGTCCCGTCATCATGACGTTCGAGAAGATCGTTGTCGCCAATCCCGTCGTGGAGATGGACGGTAGGAGATTTAAATTCTTGGGGCAGATTCGCAAGAATTCCTCTCGGCAAGCGTGGACTATTGGATGTAACTTTGCAAGATGAATTTTAATTAATATACGCGATTCGTTGGTTGCAGGTGATGAGATGACGCGGATAATCTGGGAAATGATTAAGGAGAAGGTGAGGAAACCCTAAACCCTAGACCGCCAACTGTAAGTCGCCTTTTCACAGTTCTCAACAAATCTGATTTTTTTTTCCGTTCCTTTTCCTTCGGCAGCTAATCCTTCCCTTCCTAGCGCTCGACATCAAGTACTTCGATCTGGGTCTGCCTCATCGCGACGCTACTGACGACAAGGTCACCGTTGAGGCCGCTGAGGCCACTCTGAAGTGCGTGGATCTAGGTTTCTTGGCTTTTTTTTTACTTTCCTGGATGATACTGTTCTCACATGGTGTAACAAGTTTTGTTTGTTCGCGTCTTCAGGTACAATGTGGCCATCAAGTGCGCGACCATCACTCCAGGTACGTTTTGGCTTCAAATTATACTACTCTTTGCCTAAACCCTCTGCTTCTTTCAGTTTTGTGCGTAAGGCCTCTGCCTCTTCTTCATATTCGTCGAATCAATCCTTTTTTAAATTTATGTTCAGATGAAGCGCGCGTGAAGGAATTCCACCTGAAGCAGATGTGGAGGAGCCCTAACGGCACAATCCGTAACATTCTGAATGGTATGAGGCGCCTCGCCGGGTTGTAATGATCTGGAAGCACTTTTCAAGCTTCATTTCAAGCACTTGTGCGCATGCGAGCTCGTGCTTCATTGTGGATTTCGTAGTGTATAGGACATGCTCGTAGTATACAGGACATTCTGAGCACTCACAAAGTATTCTCCCCGAAAATCTGCAGGAACCGTGTTCCGTGAACCCATCCTTATGTCCAACATCCCTCGGCTTGTGCCTTGTAAGCAGTCGATTTGGCCATTTTTCATCTGGTCCGACGTTTCTTACCTGCTGGAGCCCCAAGCCACACAGCATGCTGATTCGTTGACCTCGTCTGTATTTGCAGCATGGAAGAAGCCCATTACCATTGGCCGTCACGCTTTTGGCGACCAGTATAGGGCCACCGATCTTGTGATCCCTGGACCTGGAAAGCTCAAGCTGGTGTACGGTACGTTTCGCTTGTGAGCACTAATTCGACCTTGGAAAAGAGGTAGAAGAAGAATAACGACGAGTCTGCATGATCTGGTTACCAGATGAATTTGAACTAGTCCTCTTTATTTTTCAATTTGACATTGTTACGCTGCAGAGAAGGAGGGAGGTGAGCCTGAGGTACACGAGGTCTACAACTTCACGGGCGCTGGCGGTGTCGCTCTTGCAATGTACAACACGGACGAGGTAAGAGCAACAACATCGCACATTACCAGATTGTCATTGGTCACAGCGTTAATTTGCTATAAATCACTCACGTCGCATCAGGTCCGCCTGTAATGGCCGCCGGTTTTGCACTGTCTCTGTAAATTCCCCATCGCTGTCTGCTTCACCGTGCTCATGTTGACTCCTGACAGTCCATCAGGGCGTTCGCTGAGTCGTCCATGGCTCTGGCCTACGAGAAGAAGTGGCCGCTGTATCTCAGCACAAAGAACACAATTCTGAAGAAATACGACGGAAGGTAAGGTTTTCAGTTGAATGGCATGAATAGTTCCACTATGACATGACAGGAACCCTAGCGTTTACAGCATCTTGGGAATGGAACCGCTGTTGGTGGTGCTAGACGCTCTCGTTTTACCGCGAAACTCTTGCGAAAGCAGCTTAGTTAGGCTAATGATATGATACATGTGGCTGTGCAGGTTCAAGGACATTTTCCAGGAGGTGTACGACAAGGAGTGGAAGGCCAAGTTCGAAGCGGAGAAGATCTGGTACGAGCACCGCCTGATCGACGACATGGTGGCCTACTGCATGAAGAGTGACGGCGCGTACGTGTGGGCGTGCAAGAACTACGACGGCGACGTGCAGAGCGATATGCTTGCTCAAGGTGAGTGCAGGGGTGGGAAAGGTTTTGGTGACATGTAAGGAAAAATGCGTCTGGGCATGCAAGAACCATAACGAAGATGTGCTGAGTGACATGCGTGCGTTAATTGGCATCATTCCGTCTCGTGAGACACCAGCGTGCTGGTATGTTCCTGCTGTCGCGGCCTTTTGAACGTGTGTCCTCGTTTCAGTTCGCTCCAGCAAGTGGGTGTGGCACCGACGTCCGTGGCTGATGCCTCCGTGTTGCAGGGTTTGGGTCGCTGGGTCTGATGACCAGTGTGCTGGTGTGCCCGGACGGCAAGACCATCGAGGCAGAGGCGGCGCACGGCACTGTGACCCGCCACTTCCGCGTGCACCAGAAGGGCGGCGAGACCAGCACCAACAGCATCGCCTCCATCTTCGCCTGGACCCGTGGTCTCGCTCACAGGTATGCGTGCATGCATGCATGCTGACAGTGACCTCCATTCGGCACGTGTATGGTTCCCCTTGTTGTTTCCCTTAGTGCCTATTTATTAAGCATAGTTGGGTCTATATTGTGCCTGCATTGTGTCCGACAGCGTATCCCGTTGTCCCTGCAAGCTGCCTTATATCCCTCCCTCCTGCCACTTGGCCCTCACCCACGCCCGCATCTCACTCCTCCAATTTCCCAATTCCCTGCTTGTCTCCGCGTCACAGGGCTAAGCTCGATGAGAACACCAAGCTGGCGGACTTCTGCAGCAAGCTGGAGGCAGCGTGTGTGTCCACGGTGGAGAGTGGCAAGATGACCAAGGATCTCGCCCTCATCATTCATGGTCCCAAGTGAGTGCAGACCACTTACCCCTGCCTACCCTCCCTCTGCCCGGTGTTTCATCAGCACTGTTTTCCACACACCCTCCCGACCTCCCTCCCTAGCTCCCTTTTATTCCCTCCTCTTCGCCCCCCCCTCCGCTCTTTCCTCCTTCCAGGCCCCCACCCGCCCTCCATGCCCTCATGCCCTTTATTGCTTCGGAACCAGTTTACGCCAGGATTAGTTCTGCTTCTGTGCCTAAAAGATGCCCTGAGCGAAGTTTATCCATCTGCTGACCGGTGATGCATGTGTTGTCCACGTGTTCTGTCCCATGTTGTGCAGTGTGGCTCGCAAAGACTACCTCAACACGCAGGAGTTCATTGAAGCAGTTGCTGAGAAGCTCAAGGAGTCTCTCGCGTAGAAGCTTCTATGTTCCAAGCCCAGAGGCATGAATTGCGGCTTCTAGAAATCAAAACAAGAATATCTCGTGGGTGTAGTTGCAACCCAGGCGTTATAGGGCAGAGGCAGTGAAGCGCTGTTTTACACTGCTTCGTTTTTGCTGTGCTACAGCTGTGGCCTAGCTCACTGCTGCTGCAGATCCATGGAATCTGTCTGGAATGTAACAAGCTAGTGGCCTGGTTGAGATGCATGCGTGGAGTTTTCTCTATGGGCTTGGAGATTATGTAGAAAAGTGCATCCTTAGCACGGAAATCCCTGCCCCACGCCACCAATATGCATCACAATGATGTTCAAATATCGTGAGTTGAACTCGAACATTCTACATTCCGCTTACCCCACTGTCACAACATCAGCTGTATATGAATCGGGCTGGTTCACCTGGAGGATGCTTAATCTGTTCGTTCTCCCTATTGTAAGGTTCGCTACATTAGATCACAAGGTTCACATTACACATAAATGGCCCCTCTGCTACCTCGGAAATTGCAGAAAAGGCATCAGCGATCTTGCCGTGGGGCTCGGGCAACTACACCAAGCCGATGCGCCTGAACTTCCCGCGCAAATTCTGCACTGTACTGTACGTCCTTGGCATGGTGGCTGCTCGGGGCGTCTGGTCTAGAGTCTAGAGATTCAAGAACCAAGGTACTTCATCGCCTTGAGAGTACAGTAGAACAGAGTACTTTCTCGCGTTCCAGGATCTGCTAAATTCTGCAGCTGCTGCTCCCAAGATCTGAAAACAGATCAGAAGCTGCTAAATTCTGAAGTCGTCTGGGTCGCGAGCTGCCAGCTCCAAAGAGCTCGTTACCAGGTACTTTATCCGGCATCGCATATCTATCGAGCAAATTTCTGGCACGGTCACTTCGTCTCCCGCCAGTGCCACTCGCTGGACTCATCGTGCTCTCGCGCGTAACGTATCGAGGCACGCACCACTGCTTTCGCGACGACGTCGCGAGAAATTTGCAATCGCCGCTACTGTCGCGATCCCGATCTCGCCGATCGCATACGCCTCGTCCTGGCTTCGCCGTTCCCTCCTCCGCCGCCTGTTATCCGTCGTTGAGCGCCGTTTCCAGTCTTGCGGAGGAGCCTCTCTGGCGCGAGGATTGACTGGAAACGTTGCCTTTCTGGCGGAGGAGCCTTTCAGGCAGGCACCACCGCCTCTCCTCCCCGTTTCCAGCCCATCTTCCCGCGTGCGCCGATGGACGAGTCATCGTCGTCCGCTGCGGCCTCCTATTCAACACCCGAACTAGCCCAAACGGCCGCAACGGCAGCGGCAACGGCAGCAGCAACGGCGGCGGAAACGGCGGCGTTTGTTCGACCAGTGGCGTGGGTGCTCTTCTCGTGCGTGCTCGCGCTGTTCATGGCCGTGCGAGGGTACCGAAAGCGATCGCTCTCCGCGTCCGGCGCCGCTGCCGCCTTCGTCGTCGGATCGCTCACCATGACCGCTGGGCCGAGGTGCGTTGGGGATCCAGGCCGAGGCGACCAGTCTATTGTTGAGGCGCCTCGAAAATAGACTCCTCGTGCGTAGGGTATCCAGGCCGAGATGACCACCGATGCCTGGACCGTGGTGGGTTGGGGAATCGGTGGTAGCTAGCGACGGTGACGATCCGTCACCATCATCCATTCCCTCACCTCCCCCACCTCCCCCCACCTCCCCCACCTCCCCCCACCTCCCCACCTCCCCCACCTCCCCCACCTCCCCCCACCTTCCCCACCTCCCCCACCTCCCCCCACCTCCCCCCCCCACCTCCCCCACCTCCCCACCTCCCCCACCTCCCCCACCTCCCCCCACCTCTCCCACCTCCCCCACCTCCCCACCTCCCCCACCTCTCCCACCTCCCCCACCTCCCCCACCTCCCCCACCTCCCCCACCTCCCCCACCTCCCCCCACCTCCCCCACCTCCCCCACCTCCCCCCACCTCCCCCCACCTCCCCCACCTCCCCCACCTCCCCCCACCTCCCCACCTCCCCCCACCTCCCCCACCTCCCCCACCTCTCCCACCTCCCCCACCTCCCCCACCTCCCCCACCTCCCCCACCTCCCCCCACCTCCCCCACCTCCCCCACCTCCCCCCACCTCCCCCCACCTCCCCACCTCCCCCACCTCCCCCCACCTCCCCCACCTCCCCCACCTCCCCCACCTCCCCACCTCTCCCACCTCCCCCACCTCCCCCACCTCCCCCACCTCCCCCACCTCCCCAACCTCCCCCGAGTCAGATTCGGCGCCACCATAATCGCTTTCTACCTTTCCAAGTGCTCCTTCCCTCCGCTTCCCCCCGTTCTCTTTCCCCCTGTCACCCCCGTTTCAGTAGTTTCTCTCAACCTCCACCCTCTTTGCCCCTTCCGCGTCACGTCAGGCTGGGCGTGGCGCTGATTGCCCTCTTTCCTCTCCCTCTCCTCTCCCTCCGTCCGCGTGTTCGTCCCCCGCCCCACCCTTCCCGGGAGGTTCCGCGCGTCGCTGATCGCCTTCTTTCATCTCCTCGTTCTCTCACCCTCTGCTCTCCCCACACCCTCCCTTCTTCCCGTTGTTCTCCTCCTTTTGTTCGCCCCCCCCCCCCCCCCCCCCCCCAACACCCTCCCTTCCCCCCATTGTTCTCCTCCTTTCTTCCCTTTCCCCCCGCGCCCCCTCACACGCACACCCACGCCCACCGGTCTCCGGCAGGTTCGGCGTGACGCTGATTGCGTTCTTCCTGTCTTCGTCATCGCTCACTCGGCTCGGCGCGCAGCACAAGAGGCGCGTGGAGGACCGGTTCAAAGAGGGCGGACAACGCGACGGGTGAGAGGAGTGGAGGTGTGGTTTGATGGGGGTTGGAGTGGTCTGGTCTAGGCGTCTGGTGTATGGCTCGGCACGCAGCACAATAGGCGCGTGGAGGACCGGTTCAAAGAGGGCGGGCAACGCGAGGGGTGAGAGCAGGGAAGGGCTGTGTGGGGGGGGGAGGCGTCTGGTGTGGGGCGGTAAGGCGTCTGGTGTGTGGTGAGTGAGTGAGTGAGTGGCAAGGGCATGGTTCGCGCAGCACAAGAGAGGCGCCTTGTCAAATTTCCGTTCCTGCTCTCGCCTTGTCCCCCCCTTGCACGCACCTCTTCTCCCAGGTGGCAGGTGGTGCTGACCAACAGCATCGCCACCACTACTGTGGCGCTTCTCTTCTTCACATGTTAACAAATCGCTGCTTAGCGCGTCTTAACCACAACGTTAGCGGATCCCTCTCCCTCCCTGCGCTCACCTGTGACCTGCCCTCTCAGATGGCAGGTGCTGAGCAACAGCATAACCGCCACCACCGTGGCTCGATCGACCAGCCTCTTAACTAACACTGCCTAACAGTACTCTGATAAATCGCCTTCCCCTTCCTGCCCTCTCCCGCTCTCTCAGATGGCAGGTGCTGAGCAACAGCATAGCCGCCACCACGGTGGACGAGTGCCTTTCCCTGACCAGACTTGCCCTCCCCCTCACACCTGCCCTGTCCTCACCTGCCCTCCCAGGTGGCAGGTGCTGAGCAACAGCATCGCCGCCACCACTGTGGCCATGCCCATCCTGCATGTTTACAAATGCATTTCCCTGACCACACCTGCCCTCCCTCCCACACCTACCCTGTCCTCACCCGCTCTCCCAGGTGGCAGGTGCTGAGCAACAGCATCGCCGCCACCACGGTGGCTCTGCTCTTCCTGCTGCTCGTCTCTCCAGTGAGCCACGCAGTCTTGAACCGTTTTGGATGGACTGCCAGCAGCAGCAGCAGCAGCGGAGGCATTAGCAGCAACAGTAGCAGTAGCAGCGGTTTCATTAACAGCAGCGGTTTCATTAACAGCAGCGGCAGTAGCAGCAGTATCACCATCCCTCGAGGACACTGGCCCAAGTGGTGGATAGGGGGAGAGGGCGCAGGAGAGCAAGGGACGTCAAGTGGGTGGTCAAGTGAAGGGGTCGGAGGGTCGGCCAGTCGTGGAGAGTGGCGGTGGGGATGGGGATGGCAGGATAGGTGTTGGGCGAGCGGGGGAGGGGAGCAGCAGCGGTGGGAGCGCATGCTCCTAGCTGCGTTCCTAGCGCACTATGCTGCATGTGCAGGGGACACGTGGTCGTCTGAGATTGGTGTGCTCAGTAAGGAGCCCCCCCGCCTCATCACCACTCTGCAGGTAGGCTCCGCTCGCCCTCCTGCTTTTGAGTCGACTCAAAGGTCACTCCTCTCCCCCTCCTGCTTCCTCCCCGCTGCTGTAGGTAGGCTTCATTCCTGCGTGCTTCCTCGTGTTTTGAAATTGTCTCAACACACAGTCATTAACAGTCGTCTGAGATTGGTGTGCTTAGTAAGGAGCCTCTCTCCCCTGGCTCATCACCAAACTGTGGGACTCTTCGAGTTGACTCTAAGAGTCGTCTGTGATTGTTGTGCTTAGCAATGAGTCCCCCGGCCTCATCACCACACTGCAGGTATGCTCCACTCGCCCCTTCCCTCCCTCCCTTCCTTCCTCCTCCCTCTCTCCCTCACTCTCTCCCTCCTTCTCTCCCTCCCTCTCTTCCTCCCTCTCTCCCTCCCTCTCGCCCTCCCTCCCTCGCCTCATGCAGCACACACTCACCCCCCCCCCTCACTCTCCCCCTGCCCCCGCTGCTCTCCCCCCCTCTCTTACCCCGCCTCTCCCCCCGCTCACTCTCATCCAATCAGCGAGTGCCAAGGGGCACCAACGGGGGCGTATCTCTCATGGGCCTGGGAGCAGCCGCAGCCGGGGGGGCGTTCATGGGAGCTGTGTTCCTCTCCACGGGTCTCCTCACAACTACTCTATGCTCCTCCAACCTCGCCTCTCCTCCTCTGTCTCCTCCTGCGATCACTGGTGTCCCTTCCTTTCTCCGCATTGAATTGGGGGCTGGTGGTGCTACCGTCAACTCCTCCTGCAATCCCCTGGATGCATTAGAAAAGGCCCCTGGTGCTGCTGCCGCCACTGTTGCTGCCACTGTCGCTGCCACCGCTACAGGTGGTGCTGGTGTGGACCAATCCCTTGCCTCGCCTGCTGCTTGTTCCATTCTGGGTGAAGGCGCTTCCATAAGACAAGAGCAGACCGAGGAGCCAGAAGAGAGTGCGAGACAAGAAGAGATCAAGAGACACGAGAGCGAAGAGGAGCGGGGGGGGGTAAGGGATCGGCAGCAGCAGCGGCAGCTGGTGTGGCTGCAGGTGCTGGCTGTACCGCTGGGGCTGGCAGCAGGGCTGCTAGGGTCTCTGCTTGATTCCCTGCTGGGTGCAACGCTGCAGTACAGTGGATTCTGCCAGTTGAGAAAGAAGGTGAGCGAGGCGAGTGGGTTGGTGCTGGCACTGCCTGTTAGTGTTGGTGGTGGCAGCAGGGCTGCTAGGGTCTCTGCTTGATTCCCTGCTGGGTGCAACGCTGCAGTACAGTGGATTCTGCCAGTTGAGAAAGAAGGTGAGCGAGGCGAGTGGGTTGGTGCTGGCACTGCCTGTTAGTGTTGGTGGTGGCAGCAGGGCTGCTAGGGTCTCTGCTTGATTCCCTGCTGGGTGCAACGCTGCAGTGCAGTGGATTCTGCCAGTTGAGAAAGGAGGTGAGCGAGGGGAGTGGGTCGGTGGTGGCTGTGCCCGTTGGTGCTGACAGCAGCGCTATTTGAGTCTCGCTTGGGTGCAATGCTGCGCTGCACTGTATGCTGTTTGAGTCTTAACTCTGAGAAAGAAGTTGAGCAAGGGGGGGGGATAGGAGAAATTTGGATTTAGCCTGTCAGGCGCAGTTAGGTCCGTGTGAGTGTGTTATTAATCTCGTTGTGAGACGCCTCATCAAAACGAACTACTAACAGAAGACGAGCGAGGAGGGGCAGGAGAAATTCAGGTTTTAGCCTGTCAGGCGCAGTTAGGTGCGTGTGAGTGGGCGTAGTGAGGTGGGTTCTGTGTACGGTCGTGCTTGTCGCATGATGCAGGTGTGCGTGCTTGTTCCACTTACAAAAGTGTGCGTGTGGGGGGCGACACTCGCCCCTCCTCCGCGCTCGAGTATTGCGTTACAGTGTGCACTCGGAGCTAATATTCTGAGGAGGCATTAGCCTGTACGCCAAGGCAGCTTGCACTGTCTGAACTCCAGACCGTCACCAGCAAGGAAGGAGGCATTGGCTCTTGCCTTTTCCCGTGCTAGTGGCGTTTGATTGTGGGGGCAAATGCATCCTCGCTATTGTCTGGGGGTGATCGGTGGTTGAGCATCTCCTGCTGATGCCTCGACACGGCTCGAAACTTGTCTGCTGCTGGTGGGGTTGATCTGTTGTTTAGCGTCTCCTACTGATGTGACTTTTGATGCCTCAACCGACTGGTTTGGCTGTTACTTGTGAGCATGGTAACCATGTCATGTCGACGATATTCATGGCCCCATGAACCCCATGTGCTCCATGTGCCCCATAGACACATGACTTGTGCCTGTTTGCTCTTTCGTGCATGCGTGTGCACGTGTGTGCATGTGCTGTGGATGGTGATTCACGGTGGCAGGTGGTGGCGGCGCCAGGTCCATCAGTGAAGCACATATCGGGCCTCAGATGGCTTTCAAACGACGCAGTCAACTGCATATCGGCCCTTATCATGGCACTCGTCGCCGCCGCTGCCATGTCTGCCCTATAGCAGAGGGTATGGGGCGTGTCCCAAGCGTACGTCCAATTCCGTTTGGGTGAGATGCGCTTGCGTTTCGAGTCATTTGGATCAACTATCAATCTGAACGGTTGGGTAGGGTATTCAGCGGAATTGTATGCTTCGGACACGCCCCAAGAGTTGCTCTTTTCACAGGCGGTGGTGAGGTGGCGGCATGGCGGCACTGCATTGCACTACCGGGCCCACCACATTTGAAGCACATATGGTAATGTATCAGGCCTCTGATCGGATGGATCGTCAGCTAGGTAGTTGGTGGGCTGAGAAAAGCCCTTAGGATCTTTCCAGAGACTAAGTCCCAGTTGAAGAATGAGACTTGAGTAGTGCAGCGGAAGTTGAGGCAGTTGAACCCTTGTACTAGTATATGAGAACAAGTGATTGATTAAAGAAACAAGCATACAGCAATATATAGAAAATAGGAAAGTCAAGTAGTAGTAGACTACAGTTGCAGGAGCGGTTATCGAGTCGCACAGCGACTCGATTGTCGCTTCGGTTACTATTCGTGCAGTTGTAACGGTCAGTCGCAACCTCCAGTTGCGACCCTTCGAGTCCCTTTGCGTTCTTTGTCCACCCCCTCGTGTAACCTCCGTTGGCTCGCGTACCCGTTGCGATCTTCCTCGAGTGTAGTGTTACACTTCAGAAACGCTCAAGTCCTTTGAGGTATTTCCAACACTCCCCTTCGTTTCTGGAGTGCTGACGTGTTCAGATCCGGTGACGTTTGTCTGCCCGGTCAGCAGCGTGCAGTAATCGAATTTTGCCTTCGCCAATTTCTTCGTCAGATAGTCTGCGGCCATTTCTGTCGTAGGGCAGTAACTGAGTTGAAGTCTCCCCTTCGCGATTTCATCCTTGACGAAGAAGTACCGCAGGGTGATGTTCTTGGTTCGGTTGGCGAAGCCGTCCTTGTTCGCGATTTTGATCGCAGATTGGTTGTCGCAGAGGAGTGAGAAGACGGGCAGGGTCGCAATCTTCGCTTCCTCGAGCAACTCTCGTAGGTAGAGTCCTTCCTTGGTCGCAGTACAGAGGGCGATATATTCTACTTCAGCCGAAGATAGTGCGATTAGTTCCTGCTTGCTCGACTGCCAGGAGATAGTCCCGATAGGTTCTAGTCGGTAGATGTAGCCCGTTCTCGATCGTCGATTTCCCTTGTCTCCCGCGTGGTCGGCGTCGACGTATCCGAGTAGTTGTACGGACGATGCCGTTACTTTACTGTAGGTAAGCCCGGTCGTTGGCGTGGAGACGAAGTAGAGTAGTGCCCGATTAAGTTCCTCGAGATCTTCTTGTTCCGGCTGCTTCAGATGCGTCGCCAGTTGGCTCGCGCTATAAGAGAGATCAGGTCGGCAGGTTACTGCTGCGAATAGTAGGCAGCCGAGCTTCTGCTGATACTCCTGGATTTGCTTCGCGTGGAGTTTTGCGGAGGTGCTGTTATTGTTCCCGTAGCGGTAGGGAGTCGGGACCGTAGTCGGCGTTAGACCGAATTTCTTCGCGACAGTGCCTGCGTACTTTCCAGCGTGTAGGTAGAGCGCCGAGTTGTCTTCGACGACATCCAGTCCCAGGTACTGGGTCACTACGTCGGACACCGTGAGTATCAAGTCCTCTTTCAGCTCCCTTTCGAACCAGGTGGCGATGTCGGTAGTGGAACCGATGTAGAGCAGGTCGTCGACGTAAACGATGAGTAGGATATACTCTCTTCCCTTTTGCAGTCGGTACATGCCTTGGTCATGCGGCAGCTGTAGGAATCCGATTTTTACGAGGCGACCGTGAAGATGCTGCTGCCAGAGCCGCGGGGCTTGCTTGATCCCGTATAGGGATTTCATCAGCTGGCATACTTTCGTGGGGCCGTCGATGAATCCGTGGGGTTGCTCGACAAAGATCTCAGCGTCCACAGGTGCGTACAGGAAAGCATTTGCGACGTCGATTTGGCGCAGTGGTAGTTTCTTCGTGGCCGCGACGGCGAGTAGGATGCGCAAGGAGGTGTGACGGGAGACTGGGGCGAATGTTTCTATATAGTCGGTTCCGTATCGTTGATCAAACCCTCGTACGACCCATCGAGCCTTGAATCGTTCGATGGAACCGTCCGCATTGGTCTTGATGCGGTACACCCACTTTCCAGAGAGGACGTTCTTCCCTTTGATGCTTGTTGCAGGTACCAGCTTCCATGTATTTCGGTCTTGCAGAGCCTTTAGTTCCTTTTCCATCGCCTCCTTCCATTTCGCCTTATGTTCCCCCCCCAGAGCCTGTGACAGAGTCGTGGGCTCGCGCGGAGATGGCGGCGGTGGATGCTGGACGGAGACCCATAAGCCGAGAATTTGCAGTCCCGTGGGTGTGTGTCGAGGGGAATTTTCATTCCCGGAATAGGCTGCTTCGTCACCATCTTCTGGATCAGGTAAGAAGTTTGGGCCGATGCGTTCTGAGATGTTCGTGTCGACCGGGTGAGGTGTAACGTAACCTTGGTCAGCGAAGTGGTAAAGGGTGTCGAGATTGTTGCTATCGAGAGGATTGTCGTCGTCGAGTGGGACTGGCACGGAGCAGTAAGGGAGTGGTCCGGCAGCTTCCGAAGCTCCAGGTACGTCTTCTTCTGCTGCGTCAGCTTCGGCAGCACGGTCAGCGAAGGAGCGAAGGCCTGCGACACCGTTGGTGGGGTCTTCTGTGTTGGCGATGTTGTCCAGGTAATGTTGCAGCATCGGTCGTTCGTAGAAGATCACATCACGTGATGCCACGGTATTTTTGTCTTGTATGTCGAGGATTTTCCATGCTTGAAAATGTTGTGCGATGCCGAGGTGTAGCCCCCATTGTGCTCGTTGAGTGAAACGTCATGCTCTGGCTGTGTGGGGTCTGTACTGTACCATGCAACCGAAAACCCGAAGTAATTTTGTGCTGCCCCTTTTTCGTGTCCACAGCAGGTGCGGTGATGCGTTGTTGGGGAGCGATGACGAGGATAGCAAATTGTGCAGGTGGTCTGCATGGGTCATCGCGTCTAGCCACAGTGCGTTGGGCAGTCTCATCCCCAGGAGCAGCTTCCGCATCGTCGTCTGCAAGGTCCGGTTCATTCTTTCTGCGACCCCCTGTTGCTGGTGAGCGTAGGGTAGAGACACCAGGCGTCTGATTCCTCTCTCCGCCAAGTAGGTCCTGAATCACTGGTATTCTAGTGCGCCGTCGGATTGGAAACTCTTGAGCGTAGTTCCTGATTCTCGTTCAGCGATTGGGAGCCACGTCGTGAAGGCTTCGAAGGCTTGATCTCGCGTCTTGAGGTTGTAGTGCCAAACATATCTTGTTGCTGCATCGATAAAAGTGATGACGTAGTTGAAGTCGGCTTCCGTGTCGTCTCGAGGCATGTTTAAGATGTCGCTGTAAACCTTTTCCATCAGTGCATATGCAGGCGCACTTGGATTGTGATGTGATGGGAAGGGTTGATGGGGAAGATCTGCTTCGGGGCACGTGAAGCACCGTGCGCGAGGTCTTCGAAGTTCTTGGCCGCTTGTTGTAAGAAGAGCGTTTCGTTCTAATACTTCGGCTTGGATTGTTTGTAGTACGGTGCTGTTTGCATGATGCCCAAGGCGTTGGTGCCAGATGTTGTCGGAAGCTCGATGGCCGGGCGAGCGTTGGTACATGTCGGTGTTGGAGAAGAACGCGACGACCGTGGCGGGACTTCGGCAGACTTCTCGTGTGATGGGCATAAGTTGATCTGCTTCGGTTGGCGGTCCTCGGATCGCTGGTGGTGGTACTCGGCTGGGTCCTGCTGCTGCGACTGCAGGTGATGGTTGGGAAGGGACACTTGCTGGTACTTGTCTTTCTTGTCTGATGACTGCTAATGCTCGTGTTCTCTCTGCTGCAGGTATGGTGTTGGAGTACCAGAATCCATCGGGGTTGAAGTCGGGATCAAGATCCGGCGGGTGTGTCCAGGCGGCGAACGACACAATCCCATCGCTGTCGGCAGTACCGCAGTCGGGGACGAAGTCCAACACGAAGACGCCAGACTTCAGGAGAGCACGACCGATGAAGAGGCCGCCTTTCCCGTGGTAAAGACGAAACTCGTTGGAGTCCGAGTCGCACTCCAGGTGAATCCTTTTTGCCATTAGCTGGCTGACGCTTAGCAGATTGTATCCCAAGTTGTCGACGATTAGGACCTTGTTGAGTTGCTGGATGACATTTGTTTCCATGGACTGTAACTGAACCACTCCTTGTCTGTTTGTTTTCAGGTTTTCGTTGTTGGCGACGGTGATGATGACGTCGCGGTTTAGGCGTCGTTCTCGTTGCATGAAGCGTCCAAAAGAACACATGTGTTGACCGCAGCAACTGCCCAAGAACCAGGTGTTTCGTCCGGTGGGTTCGGCGTTGGCGACTGCAGCATATGTCGGGTTGACTTGAAGTCCTTGTGAGCGCGGCGGCGGGAGTTCTTCTTCGTCTGGTGCGTAAGTGGGTGGTGATCTTGGTGCGCAGTTGTCGATGTGTACCATACAGTTGATGATGTTCGGTGTCCCTTGTGCAAATGTGGAAGAACGCCTTGGAGGGCTTTCTTGAGTGGAAGCGACTTGTTGGTCTACTGGGCGATAAACACGAGGACGTGTGCAGTTGACTTTGGAATGTCCGGATGTTTGACAGTTGTGGCAGAACGGCGGCACGATGGTGAGTCCTCTGTTGTCGCGTTGATCTTGCTTGCCGCATCGATTGTAGTTGTTGTCGTTCCTTCGTTGAGTGTAGAAAACTAACTGCTGCTGCTTTCTTGGTTGTCTTTCTTCGAACAGGTCCATCTCATGTTGTTCAGCATGAAGCTCGGCGCAGAGGTGCATCTCCGAGATCCTTCCGTGGGCGCGAAGAAGCGAGCGTGTGGTTCTCCATTCTGGCCCGAGCCCGGCGAGGACAAGCGTCACGAAGCTTTCTTCAGTGATTGTTCCTCCGCACCGAAGCAGGCGGTCGCGGAGTGTTTGGCATCGACTCATATACTGCATCGCCTTTTCCCCGGTCTTCATTTGTATTGTTGTTAGCTGCTGCATGAGTCTGCTTTGTGTCACGCTATCGTTTGCTTGATAGAGACACTTGAGGTGATGCCATGCGAGTTCCGCGGAGTTTCCGTAGCCCCGATATGTTCTGATGCTTTGTTGTTCTTGTGGTGACAGGTTCCGCAGGAGAACTGTGTACGCCAGCAGCGACTGATACGTGAAAATTTCTTGCTCCTTTCCAGTGCCGTTGCTTGGGAATGGCAGGGACCCGTTGAAGTATCCCAAGAGATGCGCAACCTCCATCAGCAGCTCGAACTCAAAACTCGTGTCCGTTGAATGGTGAGGATGTCTGCAGTTTAATCACGTGTGAAAACTGCGCCCGGAGACTTAAAATCTCGTTTGGTGTTTGTTGTGATGCAGCTGCTGTTGGTTGGGCACGGGGCGGCATGAACTCGAACGTCCCCGGTGAAGAGTGATAAGGCGCAAAGGTAGGCGCTTGATTGTGTCGCCCGAACGATGAGTTGTCAAGGCTCATCGGCGCTAATCCCATGTTTCCTCCGTTGCTCTGTGTTGAATGAGCAGGTGTCCTTGTCTGCTGCTGCTGGTCGAAGTGCGACATGAAGCTGAAGAACCTTTCCATAAGGTTCGGATCCACGCTTGAAGAGGGTGATGGAGTCACCATTTCCGGTGCTCTTCCTGTTGTTTCTTGAGCAGCGCCGGTCTCGGTTTGCAGTCCTGAAGTGTGCAATCCAGAGTTGCCGGGTTGAGTGTCTTGGGCGCTGGGTGAGCCTGTAGAGATTTTCTTGCCCTTGCTGTCCATGACTTGTAATCAATGGAGTCGTTGAATTGCAGATTGTAGATAGAGCGTAGTTGCTGGGAGTTTGGTCTCTGGCCAGCTCTCATACCATGTTGGACTGAGAAAAGCCCTTAGGATCTTTCCAGAGACTAAGTCCCAGTTGAAGAATGAGACTTGAGTAGTGCAGCGGAAGTTGAGGCAGTTGAACCCTTGTACTAGTATATGAGAACAAGTGATTGATTAAAGAAACAAGCATACAGCAATATATAGAAAATAGGAAAGTAAAGTAGTTGTAGAATACAGTTGCAGGAGCGGTTATCGAGTCGCACAGCGACTCGATTATCGCTTCGGTTACTATTCGTGCAGTTGTAACGGTCAGTCGCAACCTCCAGTTGCGACCCTTCGAGTCCCTTTGCGTTCTTTGTCCACCCCCTCGTGTAACCTCCGTTGGCTCGCGTACCCGTTGCGATTTTCCTCGAGTGTAGTGTTACACTTCAGAAACGCTTAAGTCCTTTGAGGTATTTCCAACAGTAGTCAATCACATGTCGGCCCTTATCATGGCACTGCTAGTTGGTGCTGTCATCTCCAACCTGTAGTTCGTTATCTCAGTTTGGATGCGTGTCATAGAAGTGTACTGCCTATGTTGTGCCGAATTGGGGAAAGTATATCGGCGCTCAATATTAGGGGCCTCGCTAACATGTACGGTCAGTGACACGATAGAAACAATCAGAATTAGTGAGTTCGAAACATGTTTCATCAGTCAGGCTCCACCGTTAGTCAGGAACTGCGGGAAAAAGTTCCACGAATGGTCCATAAAAGCAACCCCCGCCTGACTCCGAATGTTTTCCCGCTCGCGCCAACTCAATTTCGTCATCATTGTGGCTGGCGCAATATTATTCCCGAGCTCCAGGCGCAGTTCAAGAGAAAAACACGCACAATACCCAAATTAAAATTAATTGAAAATTATTCAATTGAAAGAACGAAAACACAATTTTGTTTCGAAGCGCACACTTTCGTCACAGGGTGTAGTATGTCCTGCGATGCGTAAGAGCAACGGCTTTATCTCTACCGCATTTATGCCCCCCCCAAAAATCAATCCATAAACTTGTCGTCATTCCCGAGTCGCTCGAAAACAAAAACTGTCAAGTTATGCATATGTTTATATGTAGAAGTTATAGGCTAGATAGGTTTGTGGTCATAGAGGGTACAACTCCAACCCTATATCTCCCCTGTTTAGGGTTGTTCTAGTCATTCTGCTATTCTAACATGGTATCATAGTAGGTTAGGTCCGCCCACCCGCTTCCGCCCTAGCCCTAGCCTACTCCTCGTCCTTCCCCTTAGCGCGCCCCAACGGCCCTTAGCGCCCCGACGACCCCTCTCGCGCCCGCTGGTCCCCTACGCGCCTTGCCGATATCAAACATGTGCAATCCGTAATGTTTGTATAGACTGTATAGGGTCACCTCTTAGAGGGTACAACCCTTAGATATATTTCCTTGTACACATGTTCCTATACTCAATACATTCAGTTGTAAGATGGTATCAGCAATAGGTAGGTCCCCTCCCTCCCACGCTTCCGCTCTAGGATCTACCCGCGCCCGCCCTAGTCGCGCCCCACCCTAGCCGCGCCCGCGCGCCCGTCCTAGCCGCGCTCGCGCGCCCCTCCTCACGGCCCGCGCGCCCCTCCTCACGGCCCTCGCGCCCCTCCTTACGGCCCTCGCGCCCCTCCTTACGGCCCTCGCGCCCCTCCTTACGGCCCTCGCGCCCCGCGCGCCCCCCTCCCCTCGGTCCTAGCGCCCGTCCTAGCCGGCCTTGTGCCCGCACTAGCGGCCCCCTGCACCCGTCCTAGCGGCCCCGTGCTCGCCCTAGCGGCCCCCGCGCCTGCCCTAGCGCCCGTCCTAGCCGGCCCCGTCCCCGCCCTAGCGGCCCCCGCGCCTGCCCTTGCGCCCGTCCTAGCCGGCCCCATCCCCGCCCTAGCGGCCTCCGCGCCTGCCCTCTCGGCCCCTGTGCCCGTTCTTACCGGCCCCGCGCCCGCCCTTGCGACCTCCGCGCCCGTCCGCTCGGCCCCTGCGCCCGTACCAGCTAGCCCCGCGCCCGCCCTCGCGGCCCCTGCGCCCGTCCTAGCCGGCCCCGCGCCCGTCCCGTCGGCCCTGCGCCCGTCCCGCCGGCCTGGTCCCCGCTGCTCCTGGCCCCCGCGCCCGTCCTGCCCCGAGCTGTGTGCGGCCCGCTCGTCGTGCCTGCTCCGACCCTACACCCTCCCTGGTACGGTTCCCCTTCACCTGTACCGCACTGTACCGCGCCGCACCGCGCTGCACCGTACGGTACCGCATTGCACCGCACTGCACTGCACGGTACCGCACTGCACCGCCTTGCACCGCACTGCATTGCACCGCACTGTACCGCACTGTACAGCCCTGCACTACTCCTGATGGCGGCGGAGCTTCGCTTCGACGCTGAAGGCCAACCTCTGGAGTTCGAGGCGTGGCTTGCCGACCTCCGCCACCACCTCACTGGCCAGCGGCAGGATGGCCACCCGCTTTCCACACACCTTGACGGTACAATCCCCTGCCTAGACCCCCCCTGCAGTGCTGCCCGCTGACCCCACACCCGCTGAGCGCGAGTCTACTGCAGCCGTGGCCCTTGCGCGCTCGGTCTAGCTTTCCCGAGACGCTGTCGCCCAGCTTGCCATTAGCAATGCCCTTCCCGCGTCTTAGCGCCCTCGCTTTAGGTCCATCACTACCGCCCAGGCTTTCTTAGATGCTGTCATCAAGCGCTATTCCACCCCTCCTGCTGCCTCGGTGGGTCGCCTGATCCTCCCGATGCTCTTCCCTGACCTTGCGTCCTTCCCCACTGTCGCTGACCTGGCTGCCCACCTGCGCACGATAGATGAGACCTGGCGCGCTGCCTGCACTGACGCACAGCTTAGAGCCCACCAGCCGCCCATTACCTCTACCCTCTACTTGCTTGCCACCCACCTACTTGACCACCTTGCTGCCGCCTGCGACCACTTCCTTAGCATTCACCCCGGTGAGCTCACCCTCACCGACTTTGTAGACACCCTGACTGTTATTGAGACCCGCCACCGCTCCATCGCCCAGGCGAGCGGTACTGTGCCGGTCCCTATCTTTCAGGGTTGTGCCCCCGCTCATTGTACCTTCTCCGACGGTTCTGCCGCTGTGGCTGAGACTGCTGCTGCAGCGCAGTTCCGTTCGGGGAAGGGCCGCCGCCCCAAGCCTGGGCGCGGCGGAGGAGGAGGGGGTGCAGGTGGGGGTGGTGGTGGAGTCGGGTTGTCTGGTGCTGGAGCGGACGAGGGGACCCTGCCGGTCCAGCTGAGCAGCCGCCTCCGCAGTCGCAGCAGCAGCCGCAGCAGCCGCCACAGACGAGGCAAGCGAGTGTCCTCCCGCCGGGGGGGCCTGGCGATGGAGGTGGTCGTGCGCGTGGTGGTGTGCCGGGTGGTGGTTCGGGAGGCGTGCGTTGTCAGTACCAGATCCAGACCGGTCCTCGCCGCGACTTCGTTTGCGGTAAGATCGGTCATACCACTCCTCGCTGTTTTCGTCGCCTGGACGACCTCTTTCGTCAGCGCTTCGGCCAGTCGCCAGACCTCCCGGACTGGCACAGTTTGCTTAGTCGTACGCCTTGCGTCGAGGGTCGGCTTCGCCGTGCCCCTCACTCCTCCTCGTTTCCCCCTACCGCCGCGCCTCTGCAGACCCTGCACATGGACGTCTGGGGCCCCGCCCCCGTCCATGGGCCGCGTCGAGAGCGCTACTTCCTCGTGCTTGTCGACGACTTCATTCGCTATACCACAGTCTTTCCCCTGGAGCGGAAGGCCGACGTGCCTGACGCTCTCATCCCCTGGCTTGTCTCTGCCCGTGTCCACCGAGGTCTCCCTGTCCTACGTCTTCACTCCGACCGTGGTGGCGAGTTTGCCTCTGGTGTCCTAGGTCGCTTCTGCCGTGCGGAGGGCATCACCCAGACGTTCACTCTCCTGGACTCCCCACAGCAGAATGGGGTCGCTGAGCGACGCATCGGTTTGGTCATGGAGGTGGCTCGCACCTCCATGATCCATCCTGGTGGACCCCATTTTGTGTGGCCGTTCGCCGTGCGCTACGCTTCTCACCAGCTTAACCTATGGCCACACCCCCAGCAGCCGCAGGTTTCGCCGACCCGACTTTGGACCCGGTCTCCTGGTGATGCGTCTGCGTTCCACGTCTGGGGCTGCCTAGCTTACGTTTGTGGCTCCGGCATGGACAAACTCACTGCCTGCACCCTTCCCTGCGTCTTCCTCGGTTTTCCCCTTGACGCGTCTGACTGGCACTTCTACCACCCGCCGTCTCACCGCTTCTTTTACTCTCGCGACGTCACCTTTGACGAGTCCGTCTCCTTCTACCGTCGCTTCCCCCACCGCTGTTCCCCGGTTACCCCCCCCCTGTTCCTGGTCACTCCTTCCCCGGTGGTCCCTGCCCCCCCCCCTCCCCCTCCCCGTCCTGCCCCCTCTGGTGTGTCCCACGTCACCCCTCTTCCGACGGTGGTCCCGGTTGAGGAGTCTTCTGATCTGGTGGTCCTGCGGCACAGTCCGCGCCGGCTGCCCCTCCCCAGGCGTCCCCTCCTCCACCGCCTCTGCCGCCACCGTCGCCTCTGCTGTCGCAGCCGTCGTCACCTCCGCCGCACCCGTCGTTTTCGCTGCCGCCGCCGCCGCCGTCGCAGCATCAGTTCGTTGACTCTGGGGGTGCTGGCGTTGGAGTCGGTGCTAGTCCCGGTGGCCCTGGTGGTTGTCCCGGTGCTCGGGCCCTGGGGGTGTTCCCTCTGGGGGTGCTGGCGTGGAGTGTGCCGATGGTAGCCGAGGAGCAGCTTGCGGTCCCGGTGTCGCCGTTGTGCCGCCGCAGCAGCAGTCCCCGCTGGTGTCCGCCCTTCGCCTGCTCGGCCTTCCGTCCCCTGACCCTGCGTCTGTTCCTCTCTTGCCGTCTCCTCCTCTTCCCGTCTACGGCCCGGTGTTCCCTCCGCCGGACTCGTCCCTGGCTCGCCTTCCCCCTCGTTCCCCCCTTGTGTGTTCTCCTCTGTCTCCTGACCCGACTCCTTCGTCTCACGCCTGGTCTCGCCGTCCCTCCCGTGCTCGTCCTGTCTCCCCTGTCTTGCGCTCTCACCCTATGTTGCTTTGTTCCCGCGCGTCTCGTCCTCCCCTTCTCCCGTCGCCTCCTCCGTCCTCCCTTGTCGTTGCTTGCCCCCCTCTGTCTGACTACCTTCGTGCCGCTCGTCCTCTTCTTC